CTCCTTCCTCCTCCTCCTTCCTCCTCCTCCCCCTCCTTCCTCCTCCTCCCCCTCCTTCCTCCTCCTCCTCCTTCCTCCTCCTCCCCCTCCTTCCTCCCCTCCCCTCCTTCCTCCTCCTCCTCCTCCTCCTTCCTTTTCCTCCTTCTCCTCCTTCCCTTCCTTCCTCCTTCCTTCCTTCCTCCTCCTCTTCTTCCTCTCCTCCTCTTCTTCCTCCTTCTCCTCTTCTTCCTCCTCCTCCTCTTCTTCCTCCTCCTCCTCTTCTTCCTCCTCCTCCTCCTCCTCTTCTTCTTCCTCCTCCTCCTCCTCTTCCTCCTCCTCCTCCTCCATTGCTTTTGGTCTCAAACTCCTCGAAATCATGAAATTGATCTTCACTGACACTTCCATCTGTGTTAGAGCATCACTTGGGAAGAGAAGAGTCCCAGATTTGCCGGGGGGTCACATATTTCTTACCGCTAGACATGCTGAAAAAGGACGACTGATATGGCATTCCCACAATGCACCACTGGCTCCCCGATTTTTTTATATGGTGCACACTGACCATGGAGACCCATTCTCTCACATGTGGGCCTACCAGCTTTCTCCTGCTTGATTTGAAGCCGCTAGAATTTATGCGTATAGATACGTCAAACACTGTATCTCCTATGACGTATAGATACGACCGCGACAGTCAAGGGGTTAAATAGCTATAAAAATCCACATTAAAAACTCATTTTACTATATGAAATTTCATCATGACCGTCTCTGAAAATGAGGTTTCCCTGGCTGACATTGTGGAACTTATGAAATGCGAGACACACGATGTTATAATTATATCATATTTTGTTTTTAAATCACTATATTCGTAAGTCATGTCTTATTTAAACTTTATTTTTTGGTTATTTATTTCTTTAATTTTTAAATAATAATTTGACTTTTGTAGAAGTAGCTGTCATTTTTAGAGAGCACTTTGACCACATAGGTCACTCAATACTCTTAGCAATAAAAAAAATTAGAAAGAGCAATAAAAAATTAGAAATGCATTACATAACTATTACCTTTTTCTTGTAAGAAACTAGTAATGTAAATCAAACTCTCTAATACAGATGTATATCTTATTGGAAAATAAATATTTTCTTTTTATACAGCCTCTCCTCACTTAGCGACGTACTTGTTTACTGATGCCTTGGCCTTACGACAGGCCTCTTGACCAGTATTCATACCTAAATAATGTATATTAGAGCTGATTTCCTCTATTCTGTTTATTTCAATGTACAGTACACTACTGTATAAACATTTAAAAATATACCATAAATGTTGTCAATGGTGCAAAGGTGACATTAAAACAATATCAAAGATGGTTGATTATAGAGGTATGGGTGTGTGTGGAAACAATCAGGCTGCAGTATGAGGGTTGAAAACAGCAGATATTACAAGGATACCTCAGGGATATGTTTAAAAGACAATATTCAAAATAAAGTTGCTAGTAAAGGCAAAGCAATTGTTCAACAAAGAGAGATAGTAGAGGGCAACGAGTGACTAGCTTCTTTAAGGTTTACTATACAAATAGTAGGAATCTAAGAAATAATATAGATGAACTAAGATTACTTGCAAGTGCAGATAATATAGATATTATTGCTATAACAGAGACCTGGTTCAACTTGAAAGATAGAGAAATGCCTTCTGACTGCAACATACAGGGTTATAAGCTATTCCACACTGATAGGGTCAGTAGGAAGGGTGGTGGAGTGACGAAGTATGTCACAGATAATTTAAATTGTTGTGTTAGACAAGATTTAAGATTAGAAACATTGGACACAGAATCTGTTTGGCTACAGTTTCTCGAGGGTCACGAAAAATTAATTTTGGGTGTGATTTATAGGCCCCCAAACCTTGATATGGAGTGCAGTAAGCTGCTATGGGACAAAATTCATAAGGCATCTAGATATGAAAATGTTGTGTTAATGGGAGATTTTAACTTTAGACAAATTGATTGGAACAATGTGACAGGAAATCTTGAGTCTAGTGACTTTCTTGATATGGTTCAGGATTACTTTTTAACCCTTAAACTGTCCAAACATAGATATATGTTTGCATGCATACCGCTCCTTCAAATTTGGCGCAATAGGCCTGAGTCGCCTAGATACGAGAGAATAGGTCTGCGCACTCAGTGTGCGCAGTATATCATGGAATTACCCAGATAACTGCAATCAGGTCTCTGTTCTAGATCTTCTGCTGAGTCTGGAGAAATTACCTGGGTGGGCAGAATTGGGATAACCTGACTATGGGTCAGGTAGGTGGTGTTGGTTGCCAATATGACTTTTTCATAGCACAGTTATAGCTGCCCAGACAACTTTTGTTCCGAGTAGTGAAATTAGATCTAACAAAAATGATCCCAAATGGATAAACAATAGATTACAACATCTCATTGGTCAAAAGAGAGGCATATATAGGCATATCAAAAGAGGGGATGGGCAGTTAAGAAATCAATATATTCAGTTAGAGAGAGATAAAAAAAAAAGGAATAAGAAAAGCAAAAAGGGATTATGAGGCTAAAGTCGCAAGGGATTCAAAGACTAACCCAAAAGGGTTCTTTCAAGTATACAAAAGGAAGATTAGTTAGGCCCACTTAAGACTAACTCAGGTCAGATCACTGACAGTGATAAGGAAATGTGTGAACTTTTCAACACTTACTTCCTCTCAGATTTTACTCAGGAAGATGCTAGCAAAATTCCAGAAATAATAAATTATGTAGAACAGGAGGATAATAAACTATGCACGATTAGGATAGTGACATGGTCCTCAGACAAATAAAGAAATTAAAACCTAACAAATCCCCAGGCCCTGATGAAGTGTTTGTAACGGTTTTAAAGGAATGTAAAGAGGAACTTAGCAAACCTTTGGCTAATCTTTTCAATATATCACTACAAACTGGCATAGTGCCAGACAAGTGGAAAATGGCAAATGTAATGCCTATTTACATGGCAGGTGACAGGTCCTTAGCTTCGAACTATAGAAAGGCACAAATTGATTAATGAATCTCAGCACGGTTTTACAAAGGGGCGTTCCTGTCTTACGAATTTTACTAGCTTTTTTTTACTAAGGTATTTGGCGAAGTAGGTCATGGCATTGAATATGATATTGTGTATATGGACTTCAGTAAGGCTTTCGATAGTGTTCCATATCAGAGGCTATTCAGGAAACATAAGGCACACGGAATAGGAGGAGAAATTTTTTCCTGGGTATAGGCATGGTTGACAAATAGGCAGCAGAGAGTTTGCACAAATGGGGAGAAATCAGAATGGGGGCATGTCACAAGCGGTGTTCCACAGGGGTCAATTTTGGGCTCCTTGTTGTTCACAATTGACATAAACGACATAGATGAGGGAATAAATAGCAACATAAGCAAATTTGCTGATGACACCAAAATAGGCCATCCAGTTCATTCTAATGAGTAAGTAAGTAAGTAAGTTTATTCAGGTATACACAAATACAGTTACATAGAATTATCATACATAGCAGCATATATGTAGAGAACTAGGATAACCCAAAAAAGTCAGAGTGACTTATTTCCATTGGGGACTTATATCTCGTGGGCTTATATCTTGGTAAGTACTAATCCTAATTTTTTTTTGTCTTATAACGTGTAGAATAATGCCCTCTTCATTAAAAAAAATTCAAAATATTCGGAGCGCTGGGCGAGTGAACGTAGATCTATGTTAGGACAGTTAAAAGGTTAAGTGGCAAGCTTTGATCATGAGGGTTAATAATGACAAGGTTCACATCTGATCAGAAGGGTTAACCCTTTGACTGGTCGCAACCCCAAATCCTGAAGTGTCTCTGGTGTTGAAAATTTTTTTGAAAACAAAAAAAAAAATTATTTTTTCTTATGAAATGATAGAGAATCTTTTCCCGATGGTAATGACACCAAAAGTACAAAATTTGATCCAAAACTTAGGGAATTATGCTCCTCCGAAGTTAGTGATCTTGGCGATATATAAGCATCGGCAATTTCGCCAACTTTGAGCCCTATTTTCGGCCAATTGCATTGTTCCAGCCAACCAAGCTCATAGCTATTTCTTTAGAATTCCATTTTTTTTATCAATTGAGTACAAGAAACAGCTCATATACCAATTTCAACTACCTAATAATGTGGTCAGAATTTGGCAATTTGGCCAATTTTCATGCAAATTAAGAAATATGCCAATTTCAAAATAGGGTCCAGAATAAACAGTGCAGACATTCTTGGCACTAAAATAACATATCCTCTGTTCATTAGTCACGTCTCCAGGCCCCTTTCATATTACTCTTGCTTTCTATTTTCATTTTTTATTCACACAAAAATAGAAGATTTACTGTTATGCAGACTACTGCATTATTGTAAAAATGGTTTAAATAATATCAGTGCACTAGTGAAAGAATATTAGGCTCCCCCAGTTGACGTGTATTGAACGTATGGTGTGATTTGCTTACTCTTGAACATTGGTAAAAATGAACATTTCCGCTACTTTGAGGTCAATTTCAAGGTCATTTTCTTCATGAAACTAATCAAAATCATATCTATTTCTGTAATATGTTTTCCATTCTATCAAATGAGACCAAGAAAACGAGAATACAACCATAAATACTATAGGAAAATACACCTCAAATTCAGCATTTTAATCCAAAAACACAGTTGGAGTTTTTTTTTCCTCTCATTATGCACTGCGTGCTGCAGGATTTTTTTTATACAGTGCACACTGACCACACAGACCCATTCTCTCACATGTGGGCCTACCAGCTTTCTCCTGCTTGATTTGAAGCCGCTAGAATTATTGAGTATATATACGTCCAAAACACTGACTTGTAAGACATATATATACAGCCGAAACAGTCAGAGGGTTAATAGTGACAAGGTACACAACTTTGACTATGAGAGTTAATAGTGACAAGGTACACAACTTTGATCAGAAGGGTTAATAGTGACACAGTACACAGCTTTGATTCCAAGGGTTATTACAGTATAGTATATTTCTCTGTTTCAGAGATGGATTGCTGTGAAGAGTCCCATAAACAGAAGAACTGTAAACATTAATGAGATCTTCCAGGAACCAAACATTTGCCTTCTGCCTGGGGAAGTGTATCCTGACACTGTGCACATCATATCCACAAAATTGCTTGGTGACAAGGAATTCCTCTCATTGTCATCAACTGAACCTTGCTGTGGGACTCATCTCTCCAATACTGGAGATATAGGCAATTTTGTCATCGTAAATGTTGTAAGTAGCTAAAGTCCATTTTAGCTTCTTACAGTATATTAAGAAGACTCACGAAATCGTAATGACACGATTGCAAACAAACCATACCCAGGCCGAGATTGAACCCGCAGTCAGAGAGTCTCAAAACTCCAGCCCGTTGCGTTAGCCACTAGACCAGCTAACGCGACGGGCTGGAGTTTTGAGACTCTCTGACCGCGGGTTCAATCCCGGCTGGGGTATGGTTAGTATATTAAGAAATTTGGTGAAAAGGTTTGTATTGTTTTACATGCATATAGCTCAGTAAAGTGGTATAAAATGATGAAAAATGGTAAGTACCGTATTTTGCGGCTTATTAGACACATTTTTTTCCATAATATGTCTCCAAAAATCACCCTGCACCCTATAAACTGAAGGTCAGTGACGGGAGCTATAAATTTGGGGTGTGGGGGTGGGCTGTAGCTCTCCCAGTTACGTCTGATGCCGAGTCATTGAAACTTAAAACAAATTTTATAAGCCACGAAATACGGTATATAAGTGTAGAATTTGATTTATAGTAAAAATTTTTTTCCAAACACATTTTGAGATGATAAATATCCACTTTACTACAGTATAGTGGACTTCGTTTTTCGTAATTAATCCGTTCCAGAGAGTGTGACTAATATCGAAATTGACAATATGCGAAACCATTTTCCCCATAAGAAATAATGTAAATACAATTAATCCGTTCCAGACACCCAGAAGTATTAAAACAATGAGACATGAAGAATAAAACATTAACAGCATAACAGTTACCCTTATTGGCGATTCTTCTTAGTGTATGGAAGACTGGAGGAGGGGAGAGGTTGGATTAACCCTTTCAGGGTCGACAGGCCCTCTCCCAGACTTGTTCTCAAGGTTGAAAAATATTCGAAAAAAAAAATTATTTTTTCTTATGAAAAGATAGAGTTTTTTCTAAACTTTATATGCTAAAAATTTTTTTTTGCCATCAATACTTACCAAGATATGGAGGCGTGAAGTTGACAGAAAGTGAACCGCATATGGCAACATCGCCGACTGCCGGTCACCCGGTAATCGTTTATTTTATTTTCTTCTACTTTTTTCTATTATTTTTTAAATTTGTTTTCTTTTCAAGTAACTTTTATGGCCTGTGAGACCAATATGAACACTATTTTGTAAATTTTACTCTTTCTATACTACACAATAATTGCACAAATACTGTTGTCATTATATTGTTTACAAAACTTGTTTACACAAACGAACAATGTAAAATGTTTATTACTATTTTTCTATATTTTGCATATACATATACAGTCACAGGACATGTTTCTAGAAGTTCTGCAGCCTGTGGAAGTCTTTGAAATATGGTGTCATGCACAGTGGTGTTTTACACTCCTCACACATAAAACGAGTGTCTCTGCATTGTTGTGGGCGTTTTTTGTATGTGCACAGACATAACACCTCTTCTGAGCCTTTTTCTTGAAAACAGTAGCAGGCAGTTTTATTAGGAAGTGATCACCATGCCTCAGACGAGAAGGTAGGTGTTGATAATTTAGTGGGCGGTTTTCTAATGCAGGTGTTGTTCCTTGGTACTTGAATACTATTTGTCTGATGACAGACAAACAAAATTTGCCATATGGTGGTTTGTTTCTGGTCCTCATCTTATACATTTGAGCATGGAAATGTCCAGAATATGAACACAATCAGCAAACTCAATCTGCATGTCACATTTGTCCACTGAATGCATATTGAGGGTGTAGTCCATCACAGCTGCAGGTTTTAGAATGGGTTCATTGGTCTCTCTATTCTGCCTGCCAGTGTTTGTCATTTCGTTAGGGTGAACTGATGACAGCAGTGTGACATCTCGTTTGTCATGCCACCGAAATGCTATGATGTCATTGCAGCAAATGCCTGCACCTCACCTCTACGAGTGCCAGCGTCAAACCTGGGCATATTCTTACGATTTCCATGCACTGTGCCACACACACATCTGTCATGTTCACTCGCAAAAAATCATTAAGTGAGGGGCTTGTGTACCAGTTATCAGTATGTAATATATGCCCCTTACCAAGATATGGTTCCATCATTTTTCTAACCACATCACCAGAGATGCCCAATAACTTCCTGGTATTTTTCAATGTATTGCTTCCAGTGTACACAATAATATACAATACAAGACCACTGTAGCAGTCACAAAGCACAAGCAACTTTATACCAAAGCATTTCCTCTTGCTTGGTATGTACTGCTTAAATAACAGTCTTCCTTTGAACAGAATCAAAGACTCATCAATAACAAGCTTCCTGAAGGGATAAAAATACATACATGTATTGAATTTCTGTTTCATATACACAAACACATTCCTAATCTTATATAACCTGTCGTTTCTGTCAGGCCTGGTTTTGTCTGAGAAGTGAAGCATACGTAACAGCAGCACAAATCGATTCACTCGCATTATATCACTGAAACCTGGGTTTGCAATCAGGCGGTCTGTTGACTAGTATGATTTGACACTGTGCTTATACACATGTGGCATAAGCATTATTGTGGCAAAGAAAAGATACATCTCAGCCACAGTTGTCTCCATTCACTGGTGTAGGCATGATTTTGGTGAAAGTATTGTGTTTGCCATGGTGTACTCGAAGTATCTGTTGCTTTCCGTGACAGTAATTTCCATCAGGGGTTTCGTCAAAGAATAACTTGAAACATTCTAGTTCAGTAACATTGTTCCCAAGTGTACAAGATGGCCATATTCCACTTTGACTTTCATCAAAGTGATGGGGATTGGGAACAAAATTGTCAGCTTCCTGCCAATCCCAGGTGCAGTCTGCTGGTGGGTACTGGATACTGACAGGTGGTTGTGGATGTGGAGGTTGTGGTTGTGGAGGTTGTGGTTGTGGAGGCTGGTTTGGTGGGTGGGTGGGGGATGGTGGCCTTCGTTGTAGTTCAGCTGAGGCAGCAGCGTGGGTGGCAGTATGGCCTGCTGCTGGTGCCTCACGGCTGGCACCACCACTACGACCACCAGATGCATGCACATTTTCCATCCCAATTGCAACACTATCATCTTCATTTTCACTATTTGTTCCTGTTGTACAGCAACGGGATGTACTCTGAAATGTACTCCTTTCCCTTGGAATAGCGTATGGCACACTACCAGAGCGCATATACTGTCATATATACTGACGCTTCACTGGAGAATATTCTACTTCAGTATCGCTACTGGAGCTGTTTTCAAGAGTTTGTAGTTCATGTTCACTATCACTATCATCACCATTGCTCACATCTGAGTCCTGGATATGGGAAAATACGAGTTTCCTCTTTCGTTCTGGTACAACTGAATGTGAACAAGACAGCCCAGTACCAGAGGTGGAAGGTTGAGGGTCATCTGGATTTTCTCACTATTACCGGTATTATGGTCATTAGCTTCAGTCACAACCTCATCAAAACCTTGAAACTCATCTTCACTGGCACTTCAATCTGTATTAGAACTGTCACTGGGGAACAAAAGTGTCCCAGTTCGCTGAGGAGTGAGGAATTTCTTACCACGAGGCATGGTGAACATGGTGTACTAAAATGGCGTTCCCACAATGCACCACTGGGTTCCCGAATTTTTTCCTACCACGCACACTGACCATGCAGACCCATTCTCTCACATCTAGGCCTACCAGCCTTTTCTCGCTTGATCTGAAGGCGCTAGAATTTATGCATACTAGTAAGTCAATAACCCTGGCACATAAGCTGTACTAGTACATTGGAAACCCTGAAAGGGTTAATTACAGGTTTGGAAGGAGAATCCCTTCCATAAAGACTTCAGGTCCCAAGTCCTTTTCCGGGGTTACTTCCCTTTTTTGTTTTTTAATGCCACTAGGACCAGCTTGAGAGTCACTGCACACCTGTGGCACTAAATACTTGTCCAGAGAGCTCTGTTTCTGGCATCTCTTTAAAATTTTCCTAAAATAGGACAAGACTTTGTCATTGTACATGTTGCCGACACGTCTTGCAACAGCTTTGTTAGGGTGATGTTTCTCCACAAATCTTTCCAACCTACTCCACATTGCACAAATCTCCTTAATTTCTGAAGAAGGCACCTTCTTCCATTTCTCTCCCTCCCCCTCTGAAGCAACATGCTGAGCTGCAATCTGTTGCTGTTCCAGCTGAAGCTTTTGCAGCTCTTCAGTGGTTAGCTCTTTGTTGTGGTTCTCCACCAACTCTTCCACATCCTCGACACTCACATCCAACCCCTTGGAATTCCCCAATGCCACAATAGTTTCCACAACTGCATAGGGTTCTCAGGGTCAGCCCCAAACTCTTCAAAATCCCTCTTCTGGACACAATCTGGCCACAATTTTCTCCAAGCAGAGTTCAAAGTCCTGGAAGTCACTCCCTCCCAAGCCTTACCTATAAGGCCTATGCAGTGGAGGATGCTGAAGTTATCTTTCCAAAACTCTCTTAGGGTCAGTTTAGTGTCTGAGGTCATATCAAAGCACCTTTGAAACATTGCTTTGGTGTAGAGTTTTTCAAAGTTTGAAATGATCTGCTGGTCCATGGGCTGGAAGAGAGGAGTGGTATTAGGGGGCAAGACCTTCACTGTGATGAAACCAAACTCCTCTACAATTAGGTCATCCAACTCTGGAGGATGAGCAGGTGCATTGTCCATCAGCAGGAGGCACTTGAGTTCCAATTTATTTTCCAGGAGGTATTTCTTCACACTGGGGCCAAACACTTCATTGAGCCAGTCCAGGAAAATGTCCCTCGTGACCCATGCCTTATTATTAACTTTCCAGAATGCACACAATTTACTCTTGACGATATTGTTTTTCTTGAACACTCTGGGATTTTCAGAGTGATACACTAGTAAAGGCTTCACTTTGAAATCCCCACTACCATTACTACAAAACATGAGAGTTAGCCTGTCTCTCATAGGCTTGTGTCCTGGCAGTGCCTTTTCCTCCTGAGTAATGCAGGTCCTCCTTGGCATTTTCTTCCAAAAGGGGCCTGTTTCGTCACAATTGAACACTTGTTGGGGTTTAAATTGTTCAGTCTGTATGTACCCCTTGAATTCACTTATGAATTTTTCAGTCACATTTTTGTCAGAACTTGTAGCCTTGTCATGCCTTATCACGCTGTGTATGGCACTACGTTTCTTAAATCTCTCAAACCAGCCTTTGCTGGCCTTAAATTCACAAATATCACCACTCGTTGCAGCCATTTTCTTTATGAGATCGTCATGCAACTGCCTTGCCTTTTCACAAATAGTAATTGACTGCATAAACCTATCTCCTGCTAATTGTTTCTCAGTGATCTACACCAACAGTAACTTCTCAACATCTTCGAGTACTTGTGATCTCATTTTTTGTGAGCATATTTACCCCCTTTGCAACAGCAGCTTCTTTGATTTCCTTTTTCTTGGCCACAATTGAAGCGATGGTTGTATGGGGTTTCTTATACATACTGACCAGCTGTGCCACACATACGCCACTTTCATATTGTTCAATGATGTTTTTCTTGAATTCTATTGTATTTCTCACTGTGTTTACCAAAGGCTTTCTTTGGAGCCATGGTGGCTTATTTAGCAGTTGCAAGCACTAAAATGAATGGAATATTATGAAATGAATACAGTGGATCCTCGACCAGTGATGGCATCGATTAACGATAAATCTGACTAGCGATACATTTTATCGCAAAAATTTTGCCTCGATTAGCGCTAAAAAACTCGACCAACACTATTCCTTCCGTCTGAGACGCGTCCACTTCTGGCCAGTGTTTACAAGCCAGCCAGCCACCGCGGTCGCTTCCAAGCATACAATAGGAACATTTCATATTATCACAGCCTTTTTAGTGATTGCACCTGCAAAATAAGTCACCATGGGCCCCAAGAAAGCTTCTAGTGCCAACCCTACAGCAAAAAGGGTGAGAATTACTATGGATATGAAGAAAGAGATCATTGCTAAGTATGAAAGTGGAGTGCATGTCTCCGAGCTGGCCAGGCTGTACACAAAACCCCAATCAACCATCGCTACTATTGTGGCCAAGAAAACGGCAATCAAAGAAGCTGTTCTTGCCAAAGGTGCAACTGTGTTTTCGAAACTGAGATCGCAAGTGATAGAAGATGTTGAGAGACTGTTATTGGTATGGATAAACAAAAAACAGATAGCAGGAGATAGCATCTCTCAAGCGATCATATGTGAAAAGGCTAGGAAGTTGCATGACGATTTAATTAGAAAAAAGCCAGCAACTAGTGGTGATGTGAGTGAATTTAAGGCCAGCAAAGGTTGGTTTGAGAGATTTAAGAATCGTAGTGGCATACATAGTGTGATAAGGCATGGTGAGGCTGCCAGTTTGGACCAAAAAGCAGCTGAAAAATATGTGCAGGAATTCAAGGAGTACATAGACAGTGAAGGACTGAAACCTGAACAAGTGTTTAATGGTGACACTGACAATGTTGTGAAACACGTTAGGAATGTCATAAAGGAACGGGAGGTACAGGCCTCTATGGGCAGATATGTTGTGCGACAGAGGTCCAGTGACTCTCAAGCTGGTCCTAGTGGCATTAAAAGAAGGGAAGTAACCCCGAAAAAGGACTTGCCACCTCAAGTCCTAATGGAAGGGGATTCCCCTTCTAAACACTAAGACCATCAACACACTCCCCTCTTCCCATCCCATCAATCATCACCAGATCTTCAATAAAGGTAAGTGTCATGTAACTGTGCATGTCTTCTTCAGTTTGTGTGTATTAAAATTAATATTTCATGTGTTAAAATTTTTTTTTTTCAATACTTTTGGGTGTCTTGCACGGATTAATTTGATTTCCATTATTTCTTATGGGGAAAATTAACTTGACTAACGATTATTTTGACTAACGATGAGCTCTCAGGAACGGATTAATAGCGTTAGTCGAGGGTCCACTGTATTATGTATGAACATGTGAGGTGATGGTCACTCGCTGATAAACAATGGCACACTGGCTGGGAATGGAGTGTGAGGCTGCTCAGGACCATGTGTACGCGTCCGGGACGAACGACTATTTGCGAGTCAGATGACGATTCGCAAGTCAATGTTTTGACAAAAAAAGATGTTATGATTTTCGAAAATTACGACTTTCGATGCTTACGAAAAATAAGGGTCCACTGTACATACTGTATTTTATTGGTATTATTTTTTCTCTTTATTTTTTATTAAAATATCGGATATTTCCCACCCTACTTTGGTGGGGTGTCTTGTCAGAGATGCGCTTACACTACAGTTATAAAATTGCAACATTAACACCCCCTCCTTCAGAATGTAGGCACTGTACTTCCCATCTCCAGGACTCAAGTCTGGCCTGCTGGTTTCCCTGAATCCCTTCATAAATATTACCCTGCTCACACTCCAACAACACGTCAAGTCCTAAAAACCATTTGTCTCCATTCGCTCCTATCTAATATGCTCACGCATGCTTGCTGGAAGTCTAAGCCCCTCTCACACAAAACCTCCTTTACCCCCTCCCTCCAACCTTTTTTAGGCTGACCTCTACCCTGCCTTCCCTCCACTACAGAATTATACACTCTCGAAGTCATTCTATTTTCTTCCATCATCTCTACATGTCCGAACCACCTCAACAACCCCTCTTCAGCCCTCTGGATAATAGTTTTGGTAATCCTGCACCTCCTCTTAATTTCCAATCTACGAATTCTCTGCATTACAGATGCTACCCTACTTACGAACATTCGAGTTACGAACATTTGGACATACGAACAGACTGCCATGTTAGTTTATTGTACCAATTAAAAAGATAAGAAGATTTTTATTACAGTATTTATTAATAAAATATGCTTTAGTATTAAGTTTTCAACGAACAATGGCGCAGAGAGGGAACAATAATAATACTGATAATAGTATTAAAAACATTAATAATAATCGTAACAATAGAAAAGTGGCAAAATAATGACTTACGAACAATTCAAGATACGAACAGCCTTCTGGAACGTAACTTGTTCATAAGTTGGGGGCGTCTGTATATTCACACCACACATTGCCCTCAGACATGACATCTTGTCACAACATTCACCACCCATGCTTCACACCCATATAAGAGCATTGGTATAACTATTTTTTTTTTTTTCAACAAGTCGGCCGTCTCCCACCGAGGCAGGGTGACCCAACAAGAAAGAAAATCCCCAAAAAGAAAATACTTTCATCATCATTCAACACTTTCACCTCACTCACACATAATCACTGTTTTTGCAGAGGTGCTCAGAACACAACAGTTTAGAAGCATATACGTATAAAGATACACAACATATCCCTCCAAACTGCTAATATCCCAAAACCCCTCCTTTAGAGTGCAGGCATTGTACTTCCCATTTCCAAGACTCAAGTCCGGCTATATAAAAATAACCGGTTTCCCTGAATCCCTTCACTAAATATTACCCTGCTCACACTCCAACAGATCATCAGGTCCCAAATACCATTCATCTCCATTCACTCCTATCGAACACGCTCATGCACGCCTGCTGGAAGTCCAAGCCCCTCGCCCACAAAACCTCCCTTACCCCTTCCTTCCAACCTTTTTGAGGACAACCCCTACCCCGCCTTCCTTCTCCTACAGATTTAAATGCTCTCCATGTCATTCTACTTTGATCCATTCTCTCTAAATGACCAAACCACCTCAACAACCCCTCTTATAACTATACTCTCATACATTCCCCTCTTTGCTTCCATGGATAAAGTTCTTTGTCTCCAGACTCCTCAATGCACCACCCACCTTTTTTCCCTCATCAATTCTGTGATTCACCTCATCTTTCGTAGACCCATCTGCTGACACGTCCACTCCTAAATATCTGAATACATTCACCTCCATACTCTCTCCCTCCAATCTGATATCCAATCTTTCATTACCTAATTTTTTTATCCTCATCACCTTTCATATACATACTAAATATAATATATACCAGGTGATTTATATCCAGATCTCTTGTGCTATGCATGTTTCATTACCGGTGAGCACCAATATTAGGATAAATTTTATAAATATATTTTTGTATTGATAATATTCATTTCACCAGAATACGGCTGGGATTGGCAATACCCGTATTCGTTGTGTGTGTGGTGAAACAGCAACAGAAGCAGAAGCAAATGCTTTGACAGTTCTTCAACAGTTAGAAGAATGGCAAGTGCTAATCCTAAAGGAAATTAATACTGGTATTAAAGAGAGGTAACTAATGCATGGACTTACTTTGGTATAAAAATCCCTAAATGTTGAGATTCCTTGTTATATGACTACCTGACTTTTAGGATATTTTCATTGCAAACCTTGATCTCTTGATATTTATAGTGGAATCTCGGTACTCAAACTTAATTTGTTCCAACCAGTTTTCTTTTTTGTTGGCTGTTATTATTAACCTTCTCAAGCCCAATGGTGTTTATACAGATAATATGAAAAAAAAAAAACACCTAAAAATGTGAAGAAACATGAAATAGTTTACAGATTGTAATAAAGTTGGTAGAATTACCGACAATATGTAAAGGAAAAGGACACAAGTGCAACTAATGTGACATTTATTGTGGCAACGTTTCGCTCTCCAGGAGCTTTATCAAGCCATTACAAACAATACACGGACACAGAGGGCATATAAAGGCTCAGAGTGAGGTTCAATACTAGTGAAGTACCATTTCGATGTTCACTAGTGGTAGTGGTAGTAGTAGTAGTGGTAGTGATAAAAGTAATACAATATGGTAGAGCAATTAATTCGTACATGAGTAAAAGGATATAAAAGCTATTACTTGGGTAACATAAAAATAGGTTGGACAAATATAGACTGGAAAGAGGCAGCTTGTTTCAGTGTTCACTCTCTGTAATGTGCTTTGTGTAGTATAACAGGAGAGACTATGTGATGGCAGGGTTTACTGTTTTCAGGAGGATTCTTGCTAAGACTTCGGAGATGGTGAAGCTGCCGTTGTTTTGTTTAATTGTATTTGAAACAGCGATCAGTGCTGATTCGAGGCACTTGCGTCTGCGGAAATTAGTTTCTTTGATCACTAATTGGGCGTCTCTGAATTTCATGAGACGATTGGTGGAATTTCGGTGTTGTACACAGGCGTTCAAGTTATCGTTCCTACATGCGTAAATGTGTTCATTGAGGCGGGTGTCGAGGTTTCTTGCTGTTTCACCTGCGTAAATCTTGTCACAGCCTCCACAGGGTATAGTGTAAACTCCTGCATTGACTGGTTCGTGGTGCTTGGATTTTGTCCTGGTTAGATCCTTTATTGAAGTGCTAGAAGCGATGGCGACTCTGGTGTTAGCTTGTGAAAGTGCTTTTGAGACGTTCAGTGCAACCTGGCTGTTGGGAAGAATTATAACTTTGTTGGGAGTGGTGTTGATGCGTGGAGAATTAATGATCTGAAGAGCTCTTTTCTTGCAGTTTTTGATGAAAAAGGAAGGAAAATGTAACTCAGTGAATGTTTGGTGAATGTATGTACATTCCTCGTCAAGAAACTCAGGACTACAAATTCGGTATACTCTTAGGAAAAACCCGATGATGATGCCTCTTTTGGTCTTGGTATCTTGACTGGAATAGAAGTGCGTGAGATCATTTTTATTAGTGGGTTTCCGATAAACTTGAAATCTTAGGTTGTTGTCTACTTTGTGAATGAGGACGTCGAGGAAAGGTAGCTTGTCATTGGACTCTTCTTCTAGTGTAAACTGGATCACCGGTTCAACTGCGTTGAGCCTTGCCTGAAGATCCCGTACATCAAAACGTTTTGGAGTTATTACGAGGACATCGTCCACGTAACGTAACCAAGTGATGCTTGAAGGGATGATGTTGGCGAAGTGTTCGGACTCTAGGTGTTCCATGTATAAGTTGGCTAGGACGGCACTTATGGGGGACCCCATTCCCATGCGTAGGTTGTTTGTAGAGCTTGTTATTGAAAGAAAAACAGTTGAAATTAACACAGAGTTCAATCAAATCAACAAAATCTCCGGGAGGTAGAGGAAGATTAAGGTCCTGATTTACTTTACGTCGTAGAACCTCGATGGCTTTTGTGGTAGGTACTTTTGTGAAGAGGGAAGTCACATCCAAACTGCTTAGTTTCTTGTTACGGATGGAGAGGTTACGGATGCGGTTGAGAAGGTCGCCTGGGTGTTTAAGATGAGCGGGGCTGATGGTTCCCAGAAGGCAGGAAAGATGTTTGGCAAGAACTCCGGCTAGTTTGTGTGAAGCACTGCCTATTCCTGACGTGATAGGTCTGAGAGGAATATTGTGTTTATGGGTCTTGGGTAAACCATACATGTGTGCTGGTTTAGGGTTGCTTGGTAACAAGTACAGAAGTTTCTTCCCTTCTCTAGTGCATTTGAGTATTTGTCTGGTTTTGTATAGAAAATCTTTGGTGAGCGTCTCCCACTGTTGGGTAGTTGAAATACAGCCTCTCCTCACCTAATGACGGAGTTCCATTCGTAAGACAACATCATTAAATGAATTCATCATTAAGTGAGGAGCATACTATAATGGTACAAAGTTTGTGTCAACCATCTTTGATATTGTTTTAATGTCGCCTTTGCACCATTTATAACATTTTTGGTATACGTATTTTTAAATGTTTATACAGTAGTGTACTGTATACAGGAAGGCCCCGCTTTATGGCGTTTCACTTTACGGCGTTCCGCTAATACGGACGTTTCAAATTATGACCAAAACTCACTATACGGCTCCCCCCACCTGACTTTCTAATACGGTCACCGTGCCCCACCCTGTTTGTTTACATTCTCCATGAGCTCAGTAAGCACTAAGTCTCTCCAGTTTGTCTGGAAACTCCAAAATTTCAAATGTTTTTAAAAGTTATTTCATATTTTATATATACTCTGATAATTATACTTATGTATACCTGTACCTAAATAAACTTACATACTGTGCTGGCATGCAGGTACACATTAAAATTGGTAAGTGTCTTATGTCTCCAGACGTCATATTAATAATGATAATAATAATCATCGAGTCGTTTAAATGTCGTATATTACGTTAATATACACATTTTCATTAATCCATCCATGATATTTTTTTCAAAATTATATAATAAACACGATGCATAACATATAAATAAGATAAATACACCCCACAGTAGAATAAATAAACATAAATGTGAGATGTGGTAGCAGACGACTTGCACAAGTGACGCCATATTAGAAATGATAATAATAATAATAACAATACTCACCGAGTCTCATTAAATGTCGTATATTATGGTAATATACACAATTTCATTAATCCATCCATAATATTTTTTTCAAAATTATATAATAAACCGATGCAATAACATATAAATAAGATAAATACACCCCACAGTAGAATAAATAAACATAAATGTGAGATGTGGTAGCAGACGACTTGCACAAGTGACGCCATATTTGAAATGATAATAATAATAACAATACTCACCGAGTCTCATTAAATGTCGTATATTACGTTAATATACACATTTTCATTAATCCATCCATGATATTTTTTTTTCAAAATTATATAATAAACACGATACATAACATAAAAAGATGATAAATACACCCCACAATAGAATAAATAAACATAAATATAAGATATGGGAGCCACATAACTTGTACAAGTGATGGCAAGAATAACATTTTCTCTAATCTAACATAAGAGAAAATGTGTTACTGGGGGTAACTAGAAAATTATTCCTTTCGTATGTATGTAAGTAAGTTTATTCAGGTATACACAAATACAGTTACATAGATTATCATACATAACAACATACGTGTAGAGAACCTAGGATAACCAAAAAAGTCAGTGTGACTTATTTCTATTGCCTTCACTCAGAGCTTCCCATTTCTTCTCAAATGATGTTACATGAGAATGGGAGTGTTCTTCTTTATTAATTCTACCGTATCAATGTAGAGACAACCTGTACACAATGTAACTTGTACACAAACCAGACGTGTACACTTCGTTTGTTTACAAAACTTACGTTCGCCTGGTTTGTTTACATAACTCTGCGCCTGTCCCCTCTCATGTACTCATTCTTTCTCTCTCTCATTTATTCGTTTTATCTCATTTACTTGCTCCTGACCCTACATTAAGACTACAAATATTTTAAGGTAAGTAATGAGTGAACTGTATATACATTTTATCGCTCTGGGATGCTTAAATATCATAGAATAGTATGTGTGGGTGGGGTGGCCTGGTAAGGTAGCCTGGCTATTACCATACATACCACACTTGATTTCTTACAATAAATACTACTTGTCTCACCCTAGATTAGGACTATAAATATTTTAAGGTAAGTAATGAGTGCACTATGTGTGTATTGTACTTTTTTATTGTTTTTTGATGCCTGGTTCTATTGCTAACTTAATATATGTTAGTGTAAACTTGTTATCTAGTGTTTGTATGCATTTATAAGTGGAAAAAAAGGGTGTTCCACTTTACGGCGGTTTCCGCTTTATGGCGGTAGCCTGGAACCTAACCTGCCGTATAAGTGGGGCCCTCCTGTATTTAAATAAACAGAATAGAGGAAATCAGCTTTAATATGCATTATTTAGGTATGAATACTGGTCAGAGCCCATCATAAGTGCGAGGCATTGGTAAACGAGTATGTTGCTAAGTGAGGAGAGGCTGTAATTGATTGGGCGATTTCTTGTGCTCAATAGATGAAATGGAACACATACTAGTGAAATAGCTAAGAATTTAGTCCAATGGAACAATGTAATTGGCCGAAAATAGGACTCAAAGTGGGCAAAATTGACAATGCGTAAATATCGCCGACACAGCAAAATTTGCAGGAGCGTAATTTTGTCAATTTTTAATCAAATTCTGTACTTTTTGTTTTATTACCTTCAGAAAAAGATTCTCTACCATTTCATGAGAAAAAATAATAATTTTTTTTTTTTAAATTCTTGGAGCCTGGAGGGAATTTTCAGATTGGGGGTCCAGACCCTCAAAGGGTTAATAGTTTATTTAAAATTCATGAATAATCTGAAAGCTGCTACTGTTATTTACAATTTTTTTGTTCACATACTGGCAGTCTCCCACCAGGGTAGGGTGATCTAAAAAACACAAAACACTTTCACCATCACTTATCAGAATCAAAATAAAAACCAAAAGTTTATTTCTTTGCAAAGGTTACAATGTGTGTTTACATTTCATAATTTAATAAGTACAAAGAAAGCTACTATCATGCTGAGGCATTTTGGGTAGACTTAACCTAATACAACTCTCCTCACTTAATGATGGAGCTCCATTTCTAAGACCACATCAGTAAACAAATTCGTCACTAAGTGAGGAGCATACTATAAGGGTAGTGGGTGTGAGTCAACCATCTTCGATGTTGTTTTATTGTCATCTTTGCACCTTTTATAACATTTATGGTATATTTTTAAATGTTTATACAGTAGTGTACCGTATATTGCAATAAACAGAATGGAGGAAATCAGCTCTAATATACATTATTTAGTTATGCATGCAGGTCAGAGAGCCTGTCGTAAGTCAGAGTCATCGGTAAATGAGTACGTCGCTAAGTGAGGAGAGGCTGTACTTAAAGACTACCTAAGTCTAGACAAATTTCAGATATTCAGTATTTTACTCAATTATTAATATGAGGTAGTACAAATATACTTTTTTAGGGTTGTAATAATGATTTAATAGATAAGGGATAATAAAATATTTGGGAGAGTTGCTTCAAATTTGGTTAGAGATTAGCATAGTGTGGGTATGGTTATTATTGAAAGATGAGATGATTTTTAAGCATAGTCCTAAATTGATTTGTGGGCAGGGAACCTTTTGCTGGTTCGGGCAAAGAGTTCCAGAACTTCAGGCCCTTTATGTGCATTGAATTTTTGCATAGTGTGAGATGGACACGAGGGATGTCAAAAAGTTTTTTGTGCCTCGTGTTGTCTGTGTGCTCTGGTGTAGCTGTCTTGGAGAAGTTTGAGCGGAGGGTTTATATTGGAGTTAATGTTCTGTATACACCTACCATCCGACTTACGACCTACTCGACTTACGACCACTCGACTTATGACCGTGTTTTTTTATGCCAAATTTCTGGGAAATAAACAACTATTTGTGTTGTACACAGTGTTTATCCTAAACCTTACAGTATAAAATACAGTACTAACAACATAAAAAGTAAAGTAAAACATGAAATACCAAAATAAAACAATAAAATAAAGTCATTACAAAAATGTTTTGTTGATATTCAGTAGTAAAGTTCGACTTACGACCATTTCGACTTACGACTGGCTTCTCGGAGCCGAACTCGGTTGTAAGTTGGATGGTAGGTGTACATGTATATAGTAGGCACAATAACATGTGTTTATATTTTGTATATAAAGTTCAAGCTTTTGAAGAGTGGTGGGGTGTGTTGTCTGGCACCGCAGCTTTTTGTTGGGTTATTAAAGGTATAAGGTGATTGGCCTTGGTAGATCCCTAAGCACAAATATGATAAGTGAAGTAAGGGTATATTAGAGAGTGATATTTAATGCTCTTTTTCCAAAAAGCATGATTTACTCTATCACTATCTTACCAGAGGCAAGATAGTGACAGAAAACTGCCTCGTTTTGAACAAAATTCTCTGGCTAGTTTTCAATTTATGGGTGATGTGCTAAACAAAAGAAAATGAGTACTGTTAAAAAACTCAGGAATAATCATAGTTCTCCACCAGATACCCTCTAGTAAAAATGTTGCATAATCAAATTTCCATGAATTACCAAAGCTTATGAATTTAGGGGCTTGCCTGTATTTATGTTCTATTTTTTTTATAAAAAAACCTGTCAACAGTTTAAAAATAAAAGGCCCAGATAAAAAGTATCATCCATGTCTTGGATTTTTATGTTTTGAAGATTCTTGTTATAGAGTCAATAATTTTTCTTACTGTTGTGATGGTAATGCACTTGTGTTCATGGAGTGTAAAATCATCTGATATTTTTATTATAGTAATTAATTTTCAAATAGTACTGCACTTGTAATGATGGTAAATGGATTCCATTAAATGAAATAAAGCAAATGTTATGTATCTCAAAGTTTTTTGATGTCTTTAATAATTTTAAGTTATTTATAATACAATACTACATATCATTTTCAGTTTTTATTATAAAAATTTTTTCATCATTTATCATTTCAGATTATCCCAACTTGAACGGGACCTTCAAGCATGGTACACATCTAATAAAATTATTTTGATGCCATATCTTGTGCATGCCCAAATTATTGAATTTACAAACAATTCTGCAAGACTTTTGAGGAATGCACTAAGAGGAGATGCAAATAAGGAGGTTAGTGTTCCTTTGGAATTATATTTTATGTACTGTACAGTACAGAAAGTTAATATGTTTGTATGGTAAATTGGTTGAGTCCAAAGAAATGAAAATGTCAAAAATAGAAGCTCAGAAAATGTGTTTTTTCTTTTTCTGCCTCACCATTATTTCTGACTCTACCCTACTATCACTCGTCCTTCTGTCAGCCCCTTAACCTCAGTAATACTTTATACTATTACAAACCCCAGTGATTATTTCCTTAACCCTTTGACTGTTGCAAGCCCCTTTCTGAAACTGTCATTCTGTGTCGCAAAATTTTTCAAAAAAAAAAAAAAAAAAAAAAAAAATTCTTATGAAATGATAAGAGAATCTTTTCCCGATGGTAATGACACCAAAAGTACGAAATTTGGTCAAAAACTCACGGAATTACGCTCCCGCGAAGTTAGTGGTTCCATATACGCATCAGCGATTTCGCCGACTTTGAGCCCTGTTTTTGACCAATTCCGTTGTTCCAGTTGACCAAAGTCATAGCTATTTTTTTTAGAAATCCATTTTTTCTATCAGTTGAGTACAAGAAACCGCCCATTTACTGATTTGAACTACCCAATAAAGTGGTCAGAAATTGACATTTTGGCCAATTTTGCCCAAATTAAAAAAGATGCCAATTTCAAAATGGGGTCCAGAATAAATAATGTAGACATTCTTGGCACTAAAACAACATATTCTCTGTTCATTAGTCATGTCAATAGGCCCCTCTTATATTACTATTGCTTTCTATTTTGATTTTTTATTCATACAAAAAATACAAAATTTACTGTTATGCAGACTACTGCATTATTGTAAAAATGGTGTAAATAATATCAGTGCACTAGTGAAAGAATATTAGACTCCCCAGTTGATGTGTATTGGACGTGTGGTGTGATTTGCTTACTCCTGAACATTGGTAAAAATCGAACATTTCCACTACTTTGAGCTCAATTTCAAGGTCTTTTTCATTGTGAAAGTAATCAAAATCATCTCTATTTCTGTAATATGTTTTCCATTTTATCAAGTGAGACCATGAAAACGAGAATAAAACGATAAATACTATATGAAAATACACCTCAAAGTCGGCATTTTAATCCCAAAAAAACGGTCGGTTTTTTTTTTCTCATTATGCACTGCGTGCTGCAGGATTTTTTTTATGTGGTGCACACTGACCACACAGACCCATTCTCGCATATGTAGGCCTACCAGCTTTCTCCTGCTTGATTTGAAGCCGCTAGAATTTACGTGTATAAATACGTCCGAAACAGTGGCGCGTAAGACGTATATATACGACCGAAACAGTCAAAGGGTTAATGGCTTCTGTTTGCAGAGGTTTATGTAATTGGCACATCTCCTTTCATTTATTCTATTTGTAACACAGCTGTTTCCCACCAAAATAGGGTAACTCAAAGAAGGAAATGCATTCACCATCGCTCATTCTCAAGATGTCTTTGTAAAAGTACATAGATGTCACAATTCGTATGATGCTCTGAACTGCAACACCCTCACCCATTTTTCAGAATACATGCACTATACTTCCCACCTCCAGACCTCAAGTTTTGGAGGTAGAAAGTAGTTGAGCAATAAGCATGCTCCAGCAGCAAGTCAAATCCTAAAAACTAGTCTCGAATCAAACATGCTGACACATGCCTGCTCGATGCTCAGACCAGTATCACTTGAACCTCAACATCCTTCTAGCCCTTAATGGGATTTTCCTTGCATCTACTAATTTCATAGTTTCTACTTAGAAGTGATTGGGTTCCTACTTTACTTCTGGTAGCTCATTTGTGCTACTTTTTTATTAATAATTTGTATACTTTTAAAAACTTAATTCGAATTAGCTTTTCATAAATCTGTTTTTCAGCTTACCATTTTGTCATTATACCTCAAATGCTTAATTATTTTATTCTTTACATCTACATTTTTTTTTCAAGAAACTAACTGTATCCCACCTAAAATGGAGGAGTGTAGCAAATAATATTTTAGCAGAGATCACCCCAGGAGGCAGCTCAGATGAAAATTCACACGTGAGCTAATAAACCTCTGCACCAAATTCACCTTAAACCAGCAAGACTAGAAAATATGCTGGACCTCATCTTCACTAAGAATGACGATCTGATACGTAATATAACCATATCAAAGACAGTACACTCAGATCACAACATAATAGAGGTACAGACATGTATGCACAGGGCTTCTGACCAGTAAAATGTGAGCAGTCATGAGGATGTCTTCACAAAATTCAACTTCAATAACAAAAACATATAATGGGAACAAGTCAACCATGTCCTAAATGAAACAAGATAGGAGGATATCCTAAACAACACAGATCCAAAGATCCAAACCTTTGCCTAGAAAAATAAACTGTGGTTCCTGAGATCTGCTCAAGACACATTCCATTAAGAAAAAGAAAGAGAAGATGTAAACTAGAACGAGAGAGACGCTCCCTATACAGGCGAAGGCAAAAAGTCACAGAGCTGCTGAGAGGGGTCAGTATATCTGAAATACGAAGGGAGGCACTGGTCAGTGAAGTTGCAAATATCGAACTTAAGCTGAAGGAATCTTACAGGAGACAAGAATCGCAGGAAGAACTAAAAGTCATAAAGGAAATTGAAAAAACCCAAAATACTACTTCTCCTATGCCAAATCTAAGGTAAAAACAACATCCAGTATTGGGCCCCTGCTTAAGTGAGATGGGATATATACAGTTGGCAGCCAAGAAATGAGCGAGATATTAAAGTCCCAATACGACTCACTGTTCAGCGAGCTGCTACCCAGACTTAGGGTCGACAGTCCAAATGAATTCTTTATGTATGAGACCAAAAATTTGGTCATCTCAAAAATCTCAGATGTTATCCTAACACCACAAGACTTTGAAAATACAATAAATGACATGCCCATTCACTCTGCCTCACGCCCAGACTCGTGTAACTCCGTGTTCATCAAGAACTGCAAGAAGCCCCTGTCACGTGCCTTCAGCAGTCTATGGAGAGGAAACTTGGGCACAGGTCATCCCACACTCACTAAAACCAACAGACATAGCCCAACTCTACAAAGGTGGCAGTAAAGCAATTGCAAATAACTACAGACTGATAGCACTAACATCCCATATCATAAAAATCTTTGAAAGGGTTCTAAGAAGCAAGATCGCCAACCACCTAGATACCCATCAATTACACAACCCAGGGCAACACAGGCTTAGAGCAGGTTGCTCCTGCCTGTCCTAGCTACTGGACCACTATGACAAGGTCCTGGATGCTGTAGAGGATAAACAGAATACAGATCAGATATATTAATCAATCAGTCAATCAATCAAGTTTATTCTCTACAAGGATTACAATGCAGGGTTTACAGATTTTGGATATTGTGTGGTTTACATGTTTTAAAATACTAATTACAGAGGGGGCCACTAGGACACCTAGCATGGCTAGGCATTTTGGGCAGACTTAGATTAATTCTTAACTTTAAATTATTACAGATTATGGTATTAAGGCTAAGTGACTACATTATAGTTTATGAGTTTAGCAATGTGAATGCTTTTGTTTTGGCACAATACATAGTGTCTGTATTGGAGTATCATAGGCAAACTTATGACTAGTTAGGATTCATTATTTTAAGATTAAGATTTGTATTTCTGTGTTTATAGTCAATGGGTGAGTGAGTGTAAGTGTGAACCACCAGGTAGTTTTCATGTAGTTAGTTGACGAGGTGTATCAGGGAGATAAGATGTTTTCTAACTGTAGTTTTGAAAGTGATGAATGTGTCTGCAGTTCTAGAGTTTTCAGGAAGGGTGTTCCAGATTTTAGGCCCTTTGACACACATTGAATTTTTGTAAAGGTTTAGTCGGACATGGGGAATGTCATAAAGATGTTTGTGTCTGGTGTTATGCCTGTGGATCCTGTCACAACTATCAAGAAAGCATTTTAGGTCAAGGTTAATATTGGAATTTAAGGTCCTGTAGATATAGATTGCATAGTAGTAAGTGTGGATGTTCTGAACAGGGAGTAAGTTTAGATCTATGAAGAGTGGGGGGTGTGTTGCCAGGGATCAGATTTAGCGATTATTCTTACTGCGGCTTTTTGTTGGGTTATTATTGGCTTTAGGTGTGTTGCTGCAGTTGATCCCCGAGCACAAATAACATAGGTGAGGTATGGATAAATGAGTGAATGGTAGTGTGAGAAGGGAGTTTGCGGCACATAATATCATATCTTGGAGAGGATCCCCACCGTTTTGGATACTTTTTTTGTTATGTGTTGGATATGGGTGCTGAAATTTAGGTTGTTGTCGAGGTATAGACCTAGGAATTTGCCCTCATTATGTCTGCCAATTAGAGTGTTGTTGATCTTAATGTTAAGTTGCGCAACACCTGCCCTGCTACCAAACATAATGTAGTAGGTTTTGTCAGTGTTAAGTGTAAGTTTATTGGCTGTCATCCAAGTCAGAATTTTGAGCAGCTCCTCATTGAGAATGGTGTTGAGGGTGAACACAGAGTTTGCAATAGCCTTTGACAAGTGTGACCATAGTGTAATAGAACACAAAATGCGTGATAAAGGAATAACAGAAAAAGTTGGTAAATGGACCTATAACTTCCTGACAAATAGAACACAAAGAGTAATAGTAAACAGAGTAAAGTCTGAGGCAGCTATGGTGAAAAGCTCTGTTTCAAAAGGCACAGTACTCGCTCCTATCCTATTCCTCATCCTCATATCTGACATAGACAGAGATGTAAGCTATAGCTCCATGTCTTCCTTTGGGGATGACACCCAAATTGCCATGACAGTGACTCCATCGAAGACGTTGCAAGACTCCAAGCGGACATCAGCCAAATCTTCAAATGGGCCACTCAAAACAATATGAAGTTCAATGAAGAAAAATTTCAACTACTACTCAGATATGGAAAACTTGAGAAAATTAAAATTGTATCAGGGTATACAGCAAATTCTGACCATACAATAGAGTGAAAAAGTAATGTGAAGGACCTGGGAGTGATAATGTCAGAGGATCTCGCCTTCAAAGACCACAGCTATGTATCTACCGCACCTGCTAGGAAAATGATAGGATGGATAATGAGAACCTTCAAAACTAGGGACACCAAGCCCACGATGATTCTCTTTGTGGGCTTGGTGTGCACTTTCTTTTGGAAGGTTAAGGTCTCTCACCAAGTCATTGAGCTCAACTTGGTTGAAGGGTTTGGGATCGTCATTTGTTGGTGGTTTATAGTCTACTTCCATCTCCTTAGAATCACTGGTATCAAACTCTGATGAAATTTGCCATGTCTCAGGTGGCACAAGTACAGGAATATCTTCAGAGTGTGGAACAGGCTGAAGGAATATTTGGGTATATTATGTGGTCTTTAGTCTTCTTGTTGAACCCATCTCGAAGCCGCTAAACTCGGGGTCAACATCACTTTCCTTTTAAAAGGGGAGTGTTAATACTACATGGCATCAGTGAATCCCTGGTGTTTGCTATGCTGTTTGGTCTAGCTGGCACTCAATAGAACTGGTGCTCCCACTGAGTGTTAAGACCCATTCTATACTGACCAAGCATCTCAGGCCAATCATGCCAAATTTGGAGGCAGGAAAAATAAAACGTTGATCTACATTTGGAGTGCTAGCAGTAACAACATAGATCTACGTTTGGACAGTTTAGACAGTTTAAAGGTTAAAACACATGGTACAATATATAGGAATAGAAAAATAGCAGTAACCATTAGTACATGAGGATGAATGATAGATGAAAACTCAAGGAGCAGGCTTTAGGATGTGCTTGAACATAGAATATTACTGTCTTGAATAACATTGATGAGATGCTTTTTAACTAGTTTGAAGTGGTTGGCAAATAGGGAACCTTTGAAATCTTCTGGCAGAGAGTTCTGAGGTTTTTACTGAGGCTGATTCATACATGGGGGATCAAATAATACTTGTATCTTGTGTTATGCCTATCACTTATGTTGCAGTTTTCAAGGAAGAGTTTCAGAGTTGGGTTTATATTTGTTATGACTGACCTGTATATATAGTATGTACAGTAGTGTGAGTGAATGTTTTGTACATTGAGTGAGTTGAAACCTTTGAAGAGAGGGGGTGTGTTGTCTAATAACTGACTGAGTGATCATTTATATGAACTCATAATTCACATGTCTTAGGAAATGGTATTTTATATCATGAGATCCCATGAATTATGAGACTGGTAGGTAAATGAGAGCAAATAGACATGTAATATACTAGCAGTCTGTGAGAAAGGAGTTCATAAGCTTTTGTGTAATAGATTGTGTTGAAATTAAAATTTCAGATGGTGAATGAGATGAAGGAAGTCATTAGTGTGCAGCCGGATGGTCCTATCATGTATCTATTTAAGACAGACTTTGGAAGAAGTAAAGCTACATTAAGTAAAGCTACAGTGCTTGCCGGGCAACGACCTGTACTTGTACTGGCAAAGTCTGAAGGAATAATAAAGGGCCGCTCCATTATGCCTGAGGTAATAGAGTACTTCATAGTTTTTTTATTTTGTTACACATTAATATTCTTTAAGCTCATTTGACAAAGACAGGTGCATTTGTGAGCACTAAGAGTAATAAAGGTGAACTAAGCATCTGAACTTTGGCTAAAAACAATCCATGCAAATAAAAAAAAGTTTTAGAATGTATATATAATGTATATTTAATTTTACTTGCATAATTATTTTTTTTTTTTTTTTTGCCAATGTTCATTTGTTAACCCTTTGAGGGTCCACAGGCCAAATCTCAGAGTGACAGCCAGGGTCCAAGAATTTTCGAAAAAAAAAAAAATCTTACAGAATTAAAGATAATATTTTTCTAGAGGTAATAATAAAAAAAAAATCCGATGAGTACTTTCCAAGATATAGAGGCGTGAAGTTGACCCTCAATGACCGGGTGGCAGCAACAAAAGTGACTTCCGTAAAGTGGCATTTTTTTTCCCCTTTTATGTTACCTTTTTCTTTTCTAATTTTTTTTTCCAGTAACATTTGTGGCCTGTGAGACCAATATAATGCATAATGTATATATGTACACTCGTATTCAACACAATAATCACACTAATATTTTCATCATTATATTGTTTACAATACTTGATAAATTAGACACATATACAACACTTGGGTATTTTTAATGAGGAAATGTTTCGCCACACAGTGGCTTCATCAGTCTATACTTTGTAAATTGATGCCACTGGTGCAAACATTTCCTCATTAAAAATACCCAATGTTGTATATGTGTCAATCTATCAACTGTGGGTTCTCTGAACCATTCATCTACATTTACAATATTTGTTTACAACAAAAAACATCAGATCAGATCAGATCGGACTCACAGGTAAGTACCCACGAGGGGCGAGGGGCAAGTGGGGACAGGACGAAGAATAGACGGGAGAGGATGTCTTGATCGAAGAGAGATAGGTCAGACTAAACCCAATGCTAAAGTCCTGGATAACAATGACGAAAGACGATGTAGAGACAACAGGAACTCTGTAGGAGCTGGACATGTTCCTAGAACTGCTGCAGTCTGTTAAAGTCTTTGAAATAAGGTGTCATGCACAGTAGTGTCTTACTCATCTGTGGACCAGTATGATTTTATATTATGCTTATAGACATGAGGCATAAGCATTATTGTTGCAAAAAACAAATACGTACATACATTTCAGCCACAGTTGTTTCCTTCCACCGGTGGATGATGATGCACTTTGCCCTGGACCCGCTGATTAGCGGCTTGGGTCCCAGTCTGGACTGGTGCAGCATGTTGCACGCTCACATACTGCATGCTCGTGGCACCACCACCACCTACTGATGCATATGGTCTATCCATCCCAATTGCAGCCACATCATCGTCACTTTCACTGTCTGTTTCAGGTGTAGGGCCACGTATGTACTCAGTTCCCTTGGAATTGCATATGGTACAGGGTACCATATGGTACATTGTACCATATGGTACCATTGTATCATGGTACCATTGTATCATATGGTACCATTGTATCATATGGTACCATATGGTACAATGTACCATATGGTTCAAAACCATAAAATTCCTCCTCAGATCCACTTCCATCAGTGTTAGAACTATCACTTGGGAAGAGGAGAGTCCCAATTTGCCAGGGAGTGAGAGCTTCCTTGCCGCAAGGCATGATGAACAAAATGTACTGAGACGGCGTTCCCACAATGCAATGCGGGTGCTCTGATTTTTTGTTTACTGCGCACACTGACCATGCAGACCCATTGTCTTAGATGTAGGCCTACCAGCCTACTCGTGCTAAATTTGAAGCTGCTAGAATTTTGGCATATATCTACAGCTTGGACCCTGGCTTCAAAGCCATAGATCTATGGGTTAAATTTGATTTTAGCAGTACCTCATGTTTAAACATGAAGGTTATTAGTGGTAAGAAATTTTCTGACTTAGTAACTGCCCTTCAGGCAGTTACCAAGTAGATTATTATGTATAGTAGTATTAAAAAAATCAAGTGTCCTAAACCTGTGGGGATCATTAACCCTTTCAGGGTCCGTGCCGTAGATCTACAGCTTTATGTTGAGGGTCCAAACCGTAGATCTACGCCATGAGCTCAGCTCACTCTGATAAGCTGTGAGCGATAAATTTGGGCCTGGATATGAGAATACATCTATGTGGTGTGTGTGCACCACATAAAACAAATCCTGCAGCACACAGTGCATAATGAGAGAAAAAAACTGAGACCATAATTTTCGATTAATTATTATTATTATTATTATAATCAAAAAGAAGGCTAAGCCACAAGGGCTATGCAGCGCTGCAGGGTAGGGAAGGAAGCGAGAGTATTGGGCGGTAGAAGGGGGAAGGGATGATCAGTAGGTTACAGAAAACAGCGGGGCAGGGGATAGTGCGGGGGTAGAGGGCAGCAAGAGATTGAGGTAGAAAGGGCTGAAGGTATCATCAGAGTTTGTGAAGTAAGTCAGTTGTTGTCAAAAAGTCAATGAGAGAGTCCGGATGAAAGGTGGATCCATCAGCGAGAAGGGAAGGTAAAGAGAGAGCAGCGGAGCGAAGACGACGTTGGAGGTATATTCTGCGTGCTCGTTGATAAAGTGGGCAGTCTAAGAGAATGTGGCTAACCGATAATGGAACCTGACAATTCTCACAGAGAGGAGCAGGGCGCCTCTCCATGAGATAACCATGAGTAAGACGAGTATGGCTAATGCGAAGACAGGAGAGAGTAGTCTCCCAACCTTGACACTGGTGACAAGAAGACGGCCAGTAACCTATACTCGGTTTAATAGATTGAAGTTTGTTACCGAGCAGAGTAGACCAATGTTGTTGCCAACGGGTGTGAAGGTGGGTAGCTATTGCAGCAAATGTCCGTAAATGGAACACCTCTATATGAAACTGGTGGCCATGTACTGCTGACCGCGCAGCAGTGTCTGCCTGTTCATTGCCCTGTACGTCAACATGACCAGGGACCCAACAAAAAACAATATCTTTATGCTTGGAAGAGATGCAGCGTAGCCAAAGTTGGATACGGAGGACTAAGGGGTGAGGCGTATCAAATTTCTGTGTAGCCTGTAAAGCACTTTGGGAGTCTGAGACAACCACAAATGATGACACAGGCATAGATGCAATACAGATAAGTGCTGCAAGAATGGCATACAATTCAGCAGTAAAGATACTAACCGAAGATAGTAAATGCCCTCGTACGACACTGTCCGGAAACACTGCTGCGAATCCTAAGCCGTCAGAAGACTTAGAGCCATCTATGTACACTGCAATGACATGAGAATGAGAGTGGAAGTGGTCAAGAAAAAGAGAGCGGGAAGCTACCGTAGACAGTTGGGCTTTCAAGCAAGGGAGTGAGAAAGAACAGACTCGAACAGCTGGAACTTCCCAGGGGGGTAGGGAAAAGGGAGATGCTACATGAACATAGAGAGGTGGTAATTGAAGAGAAGACAAGAGCGAATGTAGGCGAAGAGAGAAGGGACGGAGCAAACAGGGGCGGCGAACAAATAAAGAATTTTTTTATTGTCACACTGGCCAATTCCCACCAAGGCAGGGTGTCCCAAAAAAGAAAAACTTTCACCATCATTCACTCCATCACTGTCTTGCCAGAAGGGTGCTTTACACTACAGTTTTTAAACTGCAACATTAACACCCCTCCTTCAGAGTGCAGGCACTGTACTTCCCATCTCCAGGACTCAAGTCCAGCCTGCCAGTTTCCCTGAACCCCTTCATAAATGTTACTCTGCTCACACTCCAACAGCACGTCAAGTATTAAAAACCATTTGTCTCCATTCACTCCTATCAAACACGCTCACGCATGCCTGCTGGAAGTCCAAGCCCCTCGCACACAAAACCTCCTTTACCCCCTCCCTCCAACCTTTCCTAGGCCGACCCGTACCCCGCCTTCCTTCCACTACAGACTGATACACTCTTGAAGTCACTCTGTTTCACTCCATTCTCTCTACATGTCCAAACCACCTCAACAACCCTTCCTCAGCCCTCTGGATAACAGTTTTGGTAATCCTGCACCTCCTCCTAACTTCCAAACTACGAATTCTCTGCATTATATTCACACCACACATTGCCCTCAGACATGACATCTCCACTGCCTCCAGCCTTCTCCTCGCTGCAACATTCATCACCCATGCTTCACATCCATATAAGAGCATTGGTAAAACTATACTCTCATACATTCCCCTCTTTGCCTCCAAGGACAAAGTTCTTTGTCTCCACAGGCTCTACTAATGTCTACTAATATCAGTGACCATCCTATAAATGGAAGGATTGCGGAGATCATGAGAGCGTACATAGTAGCGAAGGCAATGGGCATCACGGCGATCGGATAAGGATGGAACGTTCGCTTCTGCATAGAGGCTCTCAACAGGGGAAGAGCGTAAAGCACCAAGGCATAAATGTAATCCTTGGCGATGAATGGGGTTAAGGCTAGAGAGAGTAGCAGGAGAGGCCGCTGAATAGATCTAGTTACCATAATCAAGTTTCGATAAAATGAGGGCGGAATGTAGGCGAAGGAAAGTTCGACGATCAGCTCCCCATGAAAGATGAGCAAGGGTTTTAACAAGATTCAGCCGGCTGTGACAAGTTGCCTTCAGAGAGGTAATGTGAGGTTTCCAGGATAATCTACGGTCAAAGAGGAGGCCTAGAAACCTGATTGTATCATGTTCAGGGATACGGGAGCCATAGAGGTACAAAGGATGATCGGAGATGACAGAGCGTCTAGTGAAAGTAATTTGGTGAGTTTTGGTACTGGAAAATTTAAACTCATGTGTGGTGGCCCAATTGGAAACATGGTCGACCGCATGTTGGAGAGAAACTGTAATGAGGTGACAGTCAGCGCCTGCACATGCAATAGCAAAGTCATCAACATGGAGTGATGACCAAATATTGGATGGAAGACTAGAGGCCAAATCATTTATAGCACGGAGAAAAAGTGTTGTGCTTTCTACACATCCCTGGGGGACACCTTCAGCTTGGATAAAGTCGGGGAGAGCACATTATTAACCCGAACACGGAAATGTCTGTCAGTTAAAAAGTTCTTAAGGAAGGATGGTATATTGCCTCGAAGGCCTAAGGAGTGGGCTTGGGCCAAAATATTATACCTCCAAGTTGTGTCATATGCCTTCTCAAGGTCAAAAAATATGGCAATAACTGAGTGGTTATTCGCAAAGGCATTACGAACATATGTATTCAAGCGTAGTAAGGGGTCTATGGTAGAACGGCCTTTACGAAAGCCATATTGATGAGTGGAGAGACTGTTGTGTGTCTCTAAATACCACACTAAACGTCTATTTACCAGGCGTTCCATCACTTTGCAAACTGCACTGGTAAGAGCAATGGGACGATAGTGGGAGGCTTCATGTCCCGTAGTACCCGGTTTGCGGAAAGGGAGAACAATGGCAGATTTCCACAGCTGTGGAAGAACTCCCTGTGACCAAATAAGATTGAAAAGGCATAATAGGACTGCAAGGGCTGACTGATGTAAATGTTGTAGCATATGAATATGAATGTCGTCAGGCCCAGCTGCTGATGATCGGCAAGCTGAGAGTGTTGCCTCCAGTTCCTGAGGTGTAAAAGGCACATTATACTGTTCTTCTCTGAGAGAAGAAAAGTTCAAGGGTGCTAACTCTCTGGCAGACTTTGAGGAAAGAAACGAGGGGCATAGATGGAGCCCCTGAGAAATATGGACCAGATGACTGCCAATTTCATTGGCAACATCTAGTGGGTTTGCTATATCAACACCGGCAACCCGCAGAACAGGAGCTGGGTCAGGAGAATATTTACCACTGATTTTTCTTACTTTTTTCCAGACTGCACTCATAGAGGAAGCAGAGTGATGGTGGAGACATAATCTCGCCAGCAAGTGCGTTTAGGGTCACGGATGACACAGTGAGCGATCGCACGCTTCTGCTTAAAATCTAGAAGTCTCTCCATGGTTCTATTGTACCGGTACCTGCCCCACGCAGCGCGTTTCAAACGTACTGCACGAGCACAAGCAGGAGACCACCAAGGCACTCATTTCTGAGAATGCCTGCCCGAAGTTTGGGGTATAGAATGAGAAGCTGCGGTTAAAACGGAGGACGAGAAGAGGTGTAAAAGTTCATCAATGGAGGACAAAGAAGGAACCTCACTAAAAACAGTTAGTTGTGAGTAAAGGTTCCAATTTGCCTGATCAAATTGCCAGCGTGGGTTACGAAGAGGTGGTGAATATGAAGGGGAAGTAAGAATGATTGGGAAATGATTGCTGTCATGTAAATCCGGGAGAACAGACCAGATGAAGTGTAATGTGGCGGAGGAGGAGCAGACTGAGAGATCGATGCAAGAGAGAGTATGAGTCCGAGGATCAAAATGGGTGTGAGTACCTGTATTTAAAACATGGAGGGGGGGTAGCAAGAAAAGCCTCTAACTGAATGCCTCGGGAATCACAGTGAGACCCCCCCCAGAGGAAATGATGGGCATTAAAATCGCCAAGTAACAGAAGTGGTGGTGGTAATGACGAAACAAGAAAGGCAATATCTGGGATAGATAATGCCCGAGAAGGAGAGAGATACAAAGAACAGAGTGTATACCACCTATGCAAGTGGATACGGGCTGCTGTGTAATGCAGCGAAGTACGAACAAATAGCTGATGGTATGGAATATCAGTGTGAAGAAGAAGGGTACTTTCATTAAAGGTCCCATCAGGAAAAGGATCTGAAGAATACAATAAATTATAGCCTGAGATAGGATAGATAACAGCAGAGTGTAATTTTGGTTCCTGTAAGCAAACACCAACAGGGAAAAACTGGGAGAGCAACATCTGAAGCTCACCCCGATTACCCGAGGCCGCGAATATTCCACTGTAAATAGGCCATGATTGGCAACAATAAAGATACCTGAAATCCGCAGGTAAGGGTACCTACAGACTAGAGGGGTTGGAAAAGTCCACATGCGGTGGCAAAGGAAAACGTTCAAGTAGCGAAGGAACGGTGCGTTGTGAAGAAAGGAGTTGTGCAGATGGAAAAGAGGAAAGAGAAGGAACAGAGGGTGGATCAGTGTCCATTGATGGTTTGGTCTCTGCAATATATTCAGAGATTGCTTCAAGTGTTTCGGAGTTCAGAGACGTCGTATGGGAGACAATTTTCGATTAAAACAGCGATTTTGCAGTGTTTTTTCGTATGTTTTTTATGGTTGTATTTGCGATTTCTTGGTCTCATTTGATAGAATGGAAGATATATTACAGAAATAGAGATGATTTTGATTGGTTTTATTATTGGAAATGGCTTGAAACCGAGCTCAAAGTAGTGGAAATGTTAAATTTTTGCAGATGTTCAAGAGTAAACAACTGACCTCGCACGCCTAATACACGCCAGCTGGTGGGTCTAATATATGTTCACAAATGTGGTGATATTATTTATACAATTATTACTACAATATTGTATCACAGTAAATCTTCTATTTTTGGTTTGAATAAAAATTCATTATGTGAATAAAAAATCAAAATGGAATTCATTTGTAAAGCCTGAAAATGTAACTAATGAACAGAGGAAATGTTAGTTTAGTGCCAGGAATGCCTGAATTGGAATATTTTGAACTTTGCATTAAATTGGCCAAATTACCAATTTCCGAACATTTTATTTTGTAGTTTTGAAACAGTTGACTTGGCGATTTCTTGTGCTCAATCGATAGAATAGAAGTAATACTAGTGAAATAGCTAAGAATTTGGTCGACTGGAATAAGGTAACTGGCCTAAAATGGGAGTCAAAGTTGGCAAAATTGCCGATGCGTAAATATCGCTGACACATCAAAATTCGCAAGAGCATAATTTCGTCAATTTTCCATCAAATTTCATACTTTTTGTTTTATTATCTTCAGAAAAAGTTTCTCTACCATTTCATAAGAAAAAATAACAAAATTATTTTTTGAAAATTCTTGGACACTGGTGTGCACTTTGAAATTTGGCCTCTGGATCCTGAAAGGGTTAAGTGCCATTCCTGTTTAGTAAAGTCTTAATGTCTCATTATTCAGTTGGGCTCTGTAGCACTATGACCTATATAAGTCTAGTACTTTTTTAGGACTAAAAAACAATAGGGTTCTGCTTTACATTTTCATTCTATTTACTCGTGATTTTTCAACAATTTCACAAACGTTACATTTCAGGAAATGTTAGTGTGTGGTGCCTCAGCCTCTGCTTGGATGACCAGTGTGAGTCAGGTGTTGGGTGGTAAAGTGGCAGCTCCAAGATATCAGAATCCCTTACTGGTGTGCAATTTTCGAAGTCAAAAGATAGATCACATCAATGTTGACAGTAAATTAAGAGAGGCACTTGAAGCCTCTGAACATTATATTTCTAAATTTTATTAGGATGAAAGCATACTGAACCAGTGATCATAATTTTGTTTATTGTTACATTTCATGCAATATACAATTGTTTTTATTCCACTAAAACATTGGTAAGATACATTTTGTACAGTATTAAACAAAAAATACAAATGTTTGACTGCAAGCCTTCAGCTATACAATGTTTCTTCCAGCAGGATGAAACATTCTACAAATAAAGGACTCCACTGCATTTTTTTCACTTAAAACAATATTGTACAAAATGTACAGGGAATGATGCCACACACTTGTCATGTGCTGAAGTACACCTGGAGGGGGACTTCGGGAGTCCATGCCCCTGTGGCCTGGTCTGTAACGAGGCCTGATAAACCAGGTTGTTACTGCAAACAAACTGATGTATGAGCCATAGCCCAGCTGGTCAGGTACTGACTTTAGGTGCTTGTCCAGCACTTTCTTGAAGACAGCCAGGGGTCTATTGGAAACCCCTCTTAAGTATGCCAGGAGGCAGTTGAACAGTCTTGGGCCCCTAACACTTATTGTGTTGTCTCTTAGCATACTCACAGTACCCCTTCTTTTCACTGGGAGGGATGTTGCATCTCCTGCCATGTCTTACTCTCATAGGGAGTGATTTTCGTGTGCAGATTAGGGACTAGTCCCTCTAGGATTTTCCAAGTGTATATTATCATGTATCTTTCTCACCTGCATTCCAGGGACTTCAACCATTCCCAGTAATTTAGGTGCTTTATCGTACTTTTGTGTGTTGTGAAAGTTCTCTCTATATTCTCCAGGTCTGCAATTTCATCTACCTTGAAAGGGGCTGTTAGCATGCGTGAGCATGTTAGATAGGAGTGAATGGAGATGAATGGTATTTGGGACCTGACGAGCTGTTGGAGTGAGTTGAGGGTAATATTTAGTGAAGGGATCCAGGGAAACTGGTTATTTTATATAGCCTGACTCGAGTCCTGGAAATGGGAAGTACAGTGCCTGCACTTTAGAGGAGGGGTTTAGGATATTGGCAGTTTGGAGGAATATGTTGTGTATCTTTATATGTATATACTTCTAAACTGTTGTATTCTGAGCACCTCTGCAAAAACAGTGATTATGTGTGAGTGAGGTGAAAGTGTTGAATGATGATGAAAGTATTTTCTTCTTGGGGATTTTCTTTCTTTTTGGGTCACCCTGCCTTGGTGGGAGACAGCTGACTTGTTAAAAAAAAAAAAAAAAGCTAAACTGATAAGGGTCATACAGCGCTGCACGGCAGAAAATAGTGCTGGGGCTATAAACAGCTAGGTGGAAAGGGGATCAGAGGTGAGGGGAGAAAAGGGGTGGAAGGGCTGTGTGTTAAAGTTTGTATAGTAAAGCAGTTGCTGACAAAAAGTGACTACAAGTCATAGGCAGGGCGTCTGCAAGAAGGGAAGATAAGGTAAAAGTGGTAGGGCGGCAGCATCACTGGAGGTAAATCCTGCGAGTCCGCTGGTAAACCAGGCAATCTACAAGAAAGTGAAGAACTGAAATAGGAACTTGACATTATCATTATAATCAAAAAGAAGCGCTAAACCACAAGGGCTATAGGAACCAGACAAACCTCAGAGAGAGGAATAGGGTGTCGTTCCATGAGATACCCATGGGTAAGGCAATTATGGCCAATGCAGAGATGGGAGAGCGTGTCTCCCTAGTGTACAGTAATATTCCAGCCTAGAGAGAACAAGCGACTTGAAGAGAATCATGGGCTCGGCATCTCTAGTTCTAAGGGTTCTCATTACCCATCCTTGCAGATGTGGTAGATACATTGTTGTGATCTTTGAAAGTGAGATCCTCTGACATTATCATTCCCATGTCCTTCACATTAGTTTTTTTGCTCTATTATGTGGTTGGAATTTTTTTTATACTCTGATACAATTTTAATTTCTATAGTTTGTTTTCTATAGTGGAGTAATTGAAATCTGTCTTCATTGGTTGATGTCCGCTTGGAGACTTGTGGGATCTTCTATGGATGACATGCAAATTCAGGTGTCATCCACAAAGGAAGACATGGTGCTTTGGCTTACATCTCTGTTTATGTCGGATACGAGGATGACAGAGCTTTTCACTGATGCCACCTCTGACTTTACTCTGTTTACTATTACTCTTTTGTGTTCTATTTATGAAGTTATAGATAAATCTACCAACTTTTCCTGGGTAACAATTAGGTTCATTATTGGCTCATCAAAGTATAGTTGAAAATAGTCTCTGTACTCATTTGTGATGGGACACTGGCATGATACCACTTCCACTGGCATCAAAATTGAAAGGATGTGGCAAGAATGGTGTACTTTCTGTCTAGTTCCATTTGCAGTCACATGGTGCAGGGTGGACCTGTGGCATGGGGGAGCAGGAGGGAGGACAGGTGTGGTGGCAGCACTTGGTTGAGAGGGTGTCGAATGGTCCTTTGTCTTCCCACCCACAGCGCCACGAGGTCCAGGTACCATGCCACCAACCTCCTCTTCCTCCATCCCAGCATATTCATCTTCATGATCACTATTACTAGTTGGGGTTTAGGATCGTGACCTGCCATGACCCTTGCCGCCGACTGCATATGGCACACTGCCTGAATGTAGGTTACAATGCCTAAAAGTATGTTTCACTGGGGAATAATGATAATCACTGTCACTCGACGAATCCTCTATGGGCATAAAATCGATTTCATCATCATCACTTATATCACTTTCACCACTGTCAGCATCATAAGGCTTGGAAAATGATAATTTCCTCTGGGTAGTAACACTAGCAACCCCAGAGGTACTGGGCTGAGGGTCTTGTATGGCTACACTGTCCACACTAACCACCCCAGAGGTGATGGGCTGAGGGTCATCTGGGTTATCAATAGTTTCACTAATTCCTTGAACATTAGTGGCTATATTGGTGTTAAATTCACTAAACTCGCATTCTGTTACTCTTTCCAAGAATAGTAGTGTTAATATGATGAGGTATGAGTGAATCACAGGGGTTTGCCATGATGTTAACCCAAGATGGAGCTGAAATTAACTGGTGCTACCAAGCGGTACCCCAGCGTCCCTGATTTTTTTTCATACTGCACACACTTAGGGCGCAGACTGCAGCGCTGTATAGCCCTTGTGGCTTAGCGCTTCTTTTTGATTATAATAATAATAATAATTAGGGCGCAGACCCATTCTCTCGTGTCTAGGCGACTCAGGCCTATCGTGCCAAATTTGAAGGAATGTAAAATAAAACAGATCTAAGTTCGGAGCTCTATGCGTGCAAACACAGATCTACGTTTGGACAGTTTAAGGGTTAAAGTCAGTGCAGGATCAGCCGGGCTGTGGTTTGTACATTGGACTACTTGCAGCCAGCAGTAACAGCCTAGATGATCAGACCCTTATCCACCAGGAGGCCTGGTTGTGGACCAGGCCGCAGGGGCATTGATCCCCGGAATACCCTCCAGGTAGACTCAAAGTAGGTAGGTAGTCATTATCTCCACCAATATTATTTAGTACAGTTTGTAAAACAAATCCCTTTACATATTTACAAAAATAATGTACAATATATAATGATGATTTAGAGGAATTCCTACAATCTTTATCTTCTCTAGATATAAAGTATGATTGTGCAGTAATATAATGCATTATTATATTCATGGGAAAGCAATAATCCTGTCAGAATCATAGAGCACCAGGGTAAATAGGAGGCAATCAGGTTTGATCTAAGGATGAGAGAGAATCAAGTTCCTCAGATCAAGAACCCCTCTGTTAAATGGAGTAATTGTGTAGTTTCTCAACAACACATAGGAATAGATTATTATTTACTGGATATAAGTATAATATAAAATGTTGTGACTGCCAAAATAGTAATTTTCATTATTAGTCCTAGTGTCCACATGGGTTTTGCACATTTTTGTGAATATAACAACAAACATTTCAGCATTACTTCATAACTTACTTAGGACAGCTTGCAGAAAGGAAACAACTTTCTGATAGGAGTCAGCTTTTCTGAAATATAAGAATTTTTGACCATTTAATGTGATGCCAATGCTGATATTAACCCTTAACTGGGAGGATAGCCTGAAAAAAAAATCCTGTGTATGGGGGGGAAAGATTTTGGAGAATAAAAAAAAAAAATTTTTTTTTCTTACAGATCAATAGAGCTTGTTTTTCTGAATTGAATAAGAATAAAATGAGTGAAATTTGATAAAAGCTTACGATTTTATGGTGTGTTGAAGTTGGTGAAAAAATGATCACTAATCAGCAACAGTGGCATAAATGTTCTAGCAATTTTTACATTTTACAATTTACTGACAGTAATATATGATTGTTTTTTTAGTTGCTTTTAATGTTCAATGCTATATCTACTAGTTTTTTTTATGTGTTTCAAGGTGTTTTAGCACTTCAAACATTGCTTCACTTGGAATAATCAGTATATTTGGGGTATAAGTTTTTTTTACTATTTTGGTCTTCTAAGGCTATGCACAAGGAATCGTCAGACACAGTTAACCCCTAAACGGTCCAAACATATATATACGTTCTTACGTGTAGCGCCCTAAACATATATATACGGTGTGCACCATATTAAAAAAATCTGGGACCACTTAGTACCTTGTGCTCTTTTTTCTATAATTTTTTTTTCAAAATATTCGGGGCACTGCGCAAGTGAACGTATATATATGTTTGGGCCATTAAAGGGTTAAAAATGGATACAAAAAGCATACCTCACTCATACTACAATATTTACATTTGTTCAATGATGGCATATTCTAAAGAAAAATCAGTAAGTAATTAATGACAAAATAATTTGTGCTAGCTTTGAATGACAATAGCTACTATACTCTCTGACTTTCTTGCTCTTGGGATCTAGCTGAGTATCACAGCAGTTTTCAAATGTAAACTACACTGGAGGGTCAGGGGAGACATAATAATGACATACAAGATACTGCGTGGAATATATAAGGTGGACTGAGACAGGATGTTCCAGAGCGGGGACACAGAAACAAGGGGTCACAACTGGAAGCTGAAGACTCAGACGAGTCACAGGGATGTTAGGAAGTATTTCTTCAGTCATAAAGTCGTCAGGAAGTGGAATAGCCTAGCAAGTGACGTAGTGGAGGTAGGAACCATACATAGCTTTAAGACGAGGTATGACAAAGCTCAGGAAGCAGAGAGAGAGAGGACCTAGTAGCAATCAGTGAAGAGGCGGGGCCAGGAGCTGAGTCTCGACCCCTGCAACCACAATTAGTTGAGTACAATTAGGGGAGTACACATACAAACACACAACAATATCCAACACATCTACCGAAACAGGGAGAATTCCTGAGGTATGGAAGACAGCAAATGTAGCCCCAATTTTTAAAAAAGGAGACAGTCATGAAGCACTAAACTACAGGCCAGTGTCACTGACATGTATAGTATGCAAAGTCATGGAGAAGATTATCAGGAGAAGAGTGGTGGAACATCTAGAAAGGAATGATCTCATCAACAGCAGCCAACATGGTTTCAGGGACGGGAAATCCTGTGTCACAAACCTACTGGAGTTCCTATGGCAGGGTGACAGCAGTAAGATAAGAGAGAGAGGGGTGGGTAGATTGCATTTTCTTGGACTGTAAGAAGGCGTTTGACACAGTTCCACACAAGAGATTAGTGCAAAAACTGGAGGACCAGGCAGCAATAACAGGGAAGGCACTACAATGGCTCAGGGAATACTTGTCAAGAAGACAGCAGAGTCATGGTACATGGCACGAGGTGTCAGAGTGGGCACCTGTGACGAGTGGGGTCCCACAGGGGTCAGTCCTAGGACCAGTGCTGTTTCTGGTATTTGTGAACGGCATGATGGAAGGAATAGACTCTGAAGTGTCCCTGTTTGCAGATGATGTGAAGTTGATGAGAAGAATTCACTTGGACGAAGACCTGGTAGAACTACAAATGGATCTGGACAGGCTGCAGACCTGGTCCACCAATTGGCTCCTGGAGTTCAACCCCACCAAGTGCAAAGTCATAAAGATTGGGGAAGGGTAAAGAAGACCACTAACAGAGCACAGTCTAGGGGGCCAGAGACTACAAACCTCACTCAAGGAAAAAGATCTTGGGGTGAGTATAACACCAGGCACATCTCCTGAGGTGCACATCAATCAAATAACTGCTGCAGCATATGGGCGCCTAGCAAACCTAAGAACAGCATTCCGACATCTTAATAAGGAATTGTTCAGAACCCTGTACACTGTGTACATTAGGCCCATAATGGAGTATGCGGCACCAGTTTGGAACCCACAACTAGCCAAGGACATAAAGAAACTAGAGAAAATGCAAAGGTTTGCAACAAGACTAGTCCCAGAGCTAAGGGGTATGTCCTACGAGGAGAGGGTAAGGAAAATCGACCTGACAACACTGGAGGAAAGGAGAGATAGGGGGGACATGATAACGACATATAAAATACTGAGAGGAATTGACAAGGTGGACAAAGGCAGGATGTTCGAGAGATAGGGAACAGCAACAAGGGGACACAGTTGGAAGCTGAAGACACAGAAGAATCACAGAGTAGTCAGGAAGTGGAATAGTTTGGGAAGCAATCTAGTGGAGGCAGGATCCATACATAGCTTTAAGCAGAAGTATGATAAAGCTCATGGTTCAGGGAAAGTGACCCAGTAGAGACCAGTGAAGGGGTGGGGCCAGGAGCTATGACTCGACCCCTACAACCACAACTAGGTGAGTACACACAGACACAGACACAGACACACACACACACACACACACACACACACACACACACACACACACACACACACACACACACACACACACACACACACACACACACACACTCTCTCTCACTCTGGATCAAAGAGTATCTCAAAGGAAGGAGGCAAAGAGTGACTGCCTTTGCCTGGGAAGAGATGCCAGAATGGAGAAGTGTCAGTACTGTTTTTGGTTTATGTGAATATTCCAGATATGATTGAGTCAGATGTATCCCTGTTTGCTGATGACAAAGCTAATACGAATAAAAACAGACAAGGACAGAGAAAGGCTGCAAATGGAACCGCAAGACTGGTCAGATAAATGGTTGCTTAACTTCTACCCCATTTCCAGAAGACTGGAAATGGGGTAAAGACTAAGGGGACAGAGGCTGCAGATTTCACTCAGAGAGGAAGACCTAGGGGTAAGCACAAGGCCCAGTATATTGCAGAGACTTACATCAGCCAAATAATCTCTGCAGCCAATGCTTGTCTGGCAAATCTAAGAGTAGCCTAAAAGAATCTCAATTAACAAAGTCATTCTAGGCCCTTTATACAACATACTTTTCTAGTCCATCTTGGATTGTGCAGCACCAGTATGGAACCTGCACCTGAAATAGCATGTTAAGAAACTGAAGAAAGTGCATTAGTATGTAACAAACCTTGTTCCTTAATTTAGGGACATGAGCTACAAGGAGAGGTTAACGGAATTGGAATTGGATCTAATGACACTGGACAGAAAAACCAAGGGGAACATGATAACACACAAAATACTCATGAAAATTAATAAGGCAGGCAGGAATAAGCTGTTTGAGAAATGGGACCTCAGGGACACTGTTGAAAGTTAAAATCACAGATGAGCCACAGGAATGTTAAGAAGTGTTTCTTCAGTCTCGGAGTGGTCTGGAAGTGAAATGATCTTGGTGAGGAAGTGGTGGAGGCAGGGACTGTATATAGTTTTTAAGAGCAGGTATGAAAGGGCCCAAAAGGCTAAGAGGGAGTGAATCTATAAAGTATCAAATTAAGTGATTGGGCCAGGATCTGAGAATCAACCCCTGAAACCACAAACAGTGACACCGGTGTGGCCTAACTCTGGGCTACCCTCACTTCCCCAGCACCACTAACACCAACCCCTCGCACATTCCCCATCTCCACACTCCATCCCCTACCCCTGGCCACACACCCAGTAGAGATGCACACACCAACCCCAGTTCTACATACTACACCTGTTGAGTGAGCAACATCCAATGGAAGTAGATAACATAAATCTGTGTATGATAAGGGAGAGTAAGCCAAGAGTGTAGTACAGTGGAACCTCTACTTGCGAGGGCATCCACGTGTGAGTTTTTCCAAATATGAGCAGTCAATGGGTCATTTTTTGTTTCCATACGCGAGCAAAATTTCCATAAGTGAGCAGACCTTAAGGCAGGTTCCTTGATGCTGGTGAGGGGCTCTTGCTCTTGATCTAGGGAATTGTATCTCATTTGTTTGTGGGACTATCTTTTTGAAACTGGGGCAATGTATGATAGAAAGATGCTTCTTAACGTAATAATAATAATCATATGTATAATAATAATAGTATAATAATATAATACAATAATAATAGTATAATAATATAATACAATAATAATAATAATAATATAATACAATAATAATAATAATATAATACAATAATAATAATAATATAATACAATAATAATAATATAATACAATAATAATAATAATATATGTATAATAATAATACATATACAGTGGACCCCCGCATAACGATGGCATCACATAGCGATTATTTCGCATACCGCTTACTTTAATTGCAAAAATTTTGCCTCACATACCGCTTAAAAACCCGCTTACCGATTTTCGTCCGAGACGCGTCCAATGTGCGGCCTGAGCCACGCTCACATGTTCCACCGGTGGCATTGTTTACCAGCCAGCCTCCGCGGTAACATCCAAGCATACAATCGGAATATTTCGTATTATTACAGTGTTTTCGGTGCTTTTTCTGGAAAATAAGTGACCATGGGCCCCAAGAAAGCTTCTAGTGCCAACCCTACAGCAATAAGGGTGAGAATTACAATAGAGATGAAAAAAGATCATTGATAAGTATGAAAGTGGAGTGCATGTCTCCGAGCTGGCCAGGTTGTATAATAAACCCCAATCAACCATCGCTACTATTGGTGGTACAGCTGCTGCTGCTGCTGCACTGTCAGCTGCTGCTGCTGCTGCACTGTCAGCTGCTGCTGCTGCTGTAGCACCGTTGTTGGTGTGGCTTATTGAGAATACCAAGAAACAATTAACCCCAGAGGATTTGCCACCCAGGATAACCCAAAAAAGTCAGTGTCATCGAAGACTGTCTAACTTATTTCCATTGGGGTCCTTAATCTTGTCTCCCAGGATGCAACCCACACAAGTCGACTAACACCCAGGTGAACAGGGAAAAATGCCTGGAACTAGTGCTCATATTGGTGAATTTAAAGCCTGCAAAGGTTGGTTGAGAGATTTAAGAATCGTAGTGGCATACACAGTGTGATAAGGCCTGTTCTGGAAGAAAATGCCAAACAGGACCTACAGTACTCAGGAGGAAAAGGCACTCCCAGGACACAGTGTCTCATCAGTCATTGCTGCATCTTCAATAAAGGTAAGTGTCATTTATTCTTCATTTAGTAGACTAGTACATGCACAATATATACTGTGCATGTACTACTCTACTATTGTGCATGTATCCTTCTCTTTGTGTGTGGGAAAATGTATATTTCATGTGGTAAAATTTTTTTTTTCATACTTTTGGGTGTCTTGCACGGATTAATTTGATTTCCATTATTTCTTATGGGGAAAATTCATTCACATAGCGATTATTTCGCATAACAATTACCCCTCTTGCACGGATTAAAATCGTTAACCGGGGGTCCACTGTAGTATAATAATAATACATATAGTATAATAATAAATACTACATAATAATAATTATAATAATAGACGACTTCAAAAGGCCGTCGCCAGATGGCAGTGTTTACCACAACAAAGAGGGAGTGGTTGTGGCCGCCTCCACCTGTTACATAATGACATATTTATCATCTGGGTAATACGGGTTTCTATTTTATTTATATTGTTTATTCATATTGGATAACTGTGATAGATAAATAAGGTAGAGTAAAATTTTAGGAAATTATTGAAGTCGAATTCCACTGGAACGAAAATTTTGCTTTTTAAATTTAAATTTAAATGGGGAAAAATGGCCTGCAAACGGCAAACCCCATTTGCAGAAAGGGCCCATGGAAGGTTTAAAAAATTCAAGTAGGGGCCCCAAAATGTACATCAACACAGAGGGGTTTTACTAACAGTGAGGGCTGGGGAACAAAAAACGGGGTTAACTCCAAAACATCAAAGCCTCACAGAGACAGAGCTGAGACAAAACATCAACCCTTACTCCATGGGCAAATTTCAACCACAAAGAAATAGACTGGGATAATTGGGAGGTGGTCAGGGATAACTTAATGTTCCAGTATGTTAAGGATATGATAAGTGGGTCCAACACAGGAGAAACAGAATATTAAAGCCCCCTGGGTATCAGTGACCATGCAGTACTGAAGTCTGAATACCTTGTGGAACTTAACACCGAGGGAACATTGGTAAGTGGAAGGTGCGAGTAGCTGGACTAATTTTAGAAGAACAAATTTTGCAGGCATGAGGGAATTCTCGAAAGCACTGCAGTGGGAGAGGGAACTGGAAGGAAAATCAGTGGATGAAGTGATGGAGTACGTGGTTGGAAAGTGCCAAGAGGCATAGGAAACTTCGTAAATAGATGAAGCAAGGAAAATAAAAAAGGAAGAGAAAGCCCTTGGCTGAACCAAAGATGCAGAGAGGCAATGAACATAGGAGAGTTGCCAAAGATCTGAAAGACAGCAAATGTAGTACTTATAGTTAAGAAAGGAGATAGGCAGTAAGCATTGAACTTCAGGCCAGTTTTGCTAACATGTATACCATGCAAAGTAATGAAGATAGTCAGGAGAGTGGTAGAGCACTTACAGAGATGAAGTTTTATAAACAATAACCAGCAAGTGTTCAGAGATGGCAAGTCTTGGCTTACCAATATTTTAGAATTCTATGATAAATTAATATAAGTTAGACAGGAGAGAAAGGGTTGGGTGGACTGCATTTTCTTAGACTGCAAGAAGGCATCTGATACTGTACTCCACATGAGACTAGGGCAAAAACTTGGGAATGTGCCCTGGTAGATCAAAGAGTACCTTAGGGAAAGGAAGTAAAGAGTGACTATTTGGGAAGAGATGTCAGAATGGGGAAGAGTAAAAATAATGGTACTACAAGGATAGGTATTATGGCTAGTGTTGTTTCTGGTTTATGTGAATGGCATGCCAGATGGGATTGAGTCATATGTACCTCTGTTCATTGATGATGTAAAATTAATGAGGAAAATACAAACACATGAGGACAGAGAAAGGATGCAAATAGATACAAACAAACTGCAGAGTTAGTCAGATAAATAATTGCTTGAAATCAACCCCAGTTTATAAGGATTGGGGAAGAGGCCAGAAGACTGGACACAGAGTATAGATTTGGAGGACAGAGAGTGCAAACCTCATTCAAACAGGACCTAGGAGGAAGGAAAGTGCCTTAGAATATTGCCAGAGGCTCATGTCAACTGAGTAACCTCTGCAGTCATTGCCTGGAAAATCTGACAATGACCTTCAGGAATCTCAACAAAAAGTCATTCCAGGCACTTTATACAACCTATGTCAGGGCTATTTTGGAGAATGTAGCACAAATATGAAACCTACACCTGAGAAATCATGTTAAGAAACTGGAGAAAATACAGAAGTGTGCAATGAGACTAAGTCTAGAGCTAAGAAGTATGAGCCATGAAGAGAGGCTAATGGAACTGAATCTAATGACCCCTGGAGGACAGAAGGACCTGGGCAGACATGATAACAATGTACAAAATACTCAGAGGATATGATAGGGTGGACAGGGACAAGTTGTTTGAGAGATAAGAAAATGGTACTCACAGGCACAAATGAGTCACAGGGATGTCAAGAAATATTTCTTCAGTTTCAGGGTGGTCAGTAAGTGGAATGACCTTGACAGACTCCATATACAGTTTTAAGAATAGGTACAACAGAGCACACAAGGGTAGGAGAGAGTGAATCTAGTAAGTGGTAACCATATATAGGTCAGTGCATACACTGGAGATTGTAAGGGCAATGTCATTATTCCTTGACTCAACTTGGTTGGGCAAAAAGTAAAAAATATGGATATGAAGGTTCATGAATACCACGTGCATTCATATAATCAATGTGATGCTACAAAGTTTGGGTGATTTTTATATTCATTTGGAAGCGTAAGTTAGAATAAATAATATGAAAGATTATGGAACCTGTGTGATATGAGAGAGAACTAAAACAATGAGGTGTGGGGAAAGAGAAAACCTTCAAAACAAAGAATTACAAATGGAATATATGAGATTAAAGTACAAAAGGTTCTAGACTGATGAATAGCATCCATCATCATAAAGAAGAAATATAGAAAATACATACAGGAATGGGCTGCAGGGACAGTGACCTCCAAAAGCAACTCAGGTAAACTCCAAGTAAATGAGGAAGAAGGAAAGGGCACCAGGCTACAAATGAATTAGACAAAGCTTTTCTGAAAACTTTTCTGTTATGGCCAAACCTTTGGAGGAATTTGGGTGGTGGTAAGGGGGGGGGAATGCCTTGATGGCACTGAAAGGTTCTTGATCTAGGAATCAGAGCTACTCTTCCTACTCCTTGGATCAATCCAATTACCTTCCATTCCCCAGTTGCTGTAGCACCCCTGCAAATTTTGTGCTTCCACATGAATATAAAGTAATAATCTGATGGGGAAAGTTTCAGAGATGTAAATGCCCTATGAAAGTTTTTCCACTATAATTAGTACCAAGGTGGCAGATTACAGTCTAACCATAACTAAAAATCTACTACCCTTCACAGGAAGTTCCTTGATGCAGGTGAGGGGCTCATGAGCTTAGGAATTTTAACTGGTCTTTCCCTTCCTTGGATCAAACCTGATTGCCTCTCATTCCCCAGACACTGTATAGCTCCTATGGGTTTGGTGCTTCCCTCATGATGATGATAATAACAACTATAATAAAAATATACTGGTATACTAAAAATTTAAATAAAAATAAAAAAGCAAAGTTCTTATGAGATACAAGATACATTACATGGCCAGCCTTCTGATGTAGAATGCTAGAAGTCTTTACTTCTAGATGACAAAGGATTGTCTGAAAATCAACCTGAAATACACAACTCTCTAATAGTGAGGCTTTAATGTATTATCTTGACAGAGATAAGAAGTTAACAATATACTACTTAGAGAAAACTTACCTATTTAACGGTTTGCATATATCGAGGTGAGTTGCGTCAATTTTATGAAATACTCCAATTCCAGGATCTATAATAAAAAAAAAAAAAATAGATATTAAAACTGTGTTTTTAATGCTGAAAACAGATTTTTGTGTCAAGTTCATGCCAGTAGATCTAGACGCTAAATAAAGTTCTCTTGTTACCAATGCTTACTGTGTATTACCCTATTTTATTTAATTATTACCTATTTGTAGCTAAATGAGTAAAGTGTATGGCATCCAGTTTTAAGTATGTAATTTACCATATAATTTTATAAAGTTCCCAGTGGTTTTAAGCACTTACATCTCATTCCACTGTTCTGTTACTCTGTGAAGTACTTTCTAGTATTCATCATAATTCAATCAATCAATGTCTTGCCATAAGTGTGCTGTTGATACACAAATAACCCGCACATAGAAAAGAGGAGCATACGACGACATTTCGATCCGACTTGGACCATTTACAAAGTCACACTAACCAGAAGTGGAGCAGGACAGGTATATATAGGCAGGAAGAGGTGGTGGTGGTGGTGGTAGTGGCGGTGGCTGCGGCAGCGGCAGCAGCAGCAGCAGCAATAGTAGTGGGGAATTAAGGAGGAGGAGCCAGTCCAAGTCGGATTGAAACATCGTCGTAAGCTCCTCTTTTCTATGTGTGGGTTATTTGTGTATCGTTCCAGTCACGGTACTGTGCCTTTTTTGTTATTTGTGCTGTTGATATCACAGTTCAGGTGACCCTCTTAACTACAAAATTCCCATTCATCCTTCAAGCAAAGGCACTGTATTTCCCACCTCTAGCACTCAAGTCCAGCAAACCAGTTTACCTGAATCCCATCATAAATGTTACCTTGCTCACACCTACAGTACATCTATTTATGCCTGTCTAACATGGTCACACAAGCCTGCTGGATATCCAAAGCCTTCTTTATCCCCTTCTTGCAACCATTCCTGGGATGAACCTCACCCTTTCTACCTTCCACTGCATATTTATGCTCTATCATCCTATCCCTCTCCATCCACTCTAAATAGAAAAAAAAAAAATTCAGCAATCCCCTCGCAGCTCTCGGGAATCATACCTTTTTTGACCACACACTGTCTTCTAATTTACAATGTGAACTCTGCATAATATACACACCACAGACTGCTCTCAAGTATGCCTTTTTGCCTTGTTTTCACTACAAAGGTAATATGAACACTAACTTTTTATGGACATAATGACACATGAAAACTGAACTACAATGTCAGATCCTTGAGCAAACATTATGATGCTCATAGCTTTTACTCAGTTCCCTTCATTCCAATATATAAATCAACACACTCACAAAAACCTGGCTTAAGCCTGAAAATTACAGATTTCTATACCATTCCTGGTACATGGCCCATACACAACTGTAGAACAGACCAGCAAGGGGGAGGAACAGCTATTTTACTGTTCAAATCAACTCGAATGTATAAATAAATCTTGCACAAGGGATGAACATGGAGAATATATCATAGCCAAATTTAAATCAAAAGACCTGCAAAAACCCCTCACATTTTATAAACATCTACAGAGTACCCAGTCAAACATTTATCACTTTAGTGAAAAACTAGGAAACATGTTTACTGATGTACACATGAATAAAAACCACCTACTACTAACAGGTGATTTCAAATAACAACTACACGACCAGGACCCACAAGAAAACCGAATTAAACAAACAAAATTTGGTAACTGCCTGTTGCTCCCAGCAAAAATCTAAACCTACAAGAATCTCCGAACAAGCATCTCCTTAAAAGACCACATCTGGACAAACACCATATCCCTTTAAAATCAGGCATAATCACAGACAACACTACAGACCACTACCCAAAACCTTTCTCATTTTCTAATCTGGGCAAACTGCCACAAGACATTACTAAAGTAACCTTCAGACTACATAACGAGACAGCGGTTAACAACTTTATAGCAGCTATGAATAACATCGACTGGCAATATGAGCTTGAAACATATACAGATATGAATGAAAGTAAAATAATTTTCTAACAAAAGCCAATGCCTCTACAACAGACATTGCCCCAGAAAAACTAAACAGATCACAGCAAAGAGACTGAATAATCCCTGGCTAACACCAAGCATCCTCAAATCCATTAACACAAAGCACAAATATGAAAAACAGTATAGAATGGGTCAAATAACTAGAGAACAGTCGAGAAATTACTCGTCAGCACTTACCAGCCTGATAAGAAGGTCAAAAAAATTGTATTATGAAATAGATTACATAACATCAAAGGTGATATGAAAAAAACCTGAAAACTCCATCTGAAATTCTTGGAACTAAAAAGTTATCCAAAAACAAAGCAATCAAACTAACAAAATCAGATGAACCCCTACTCACTCCAACCGAAACAGCAAACAGACTTAATGTTTTCTTCTCCACCATAGGAAAAAATCTAGCAAACAAAATACCAAGCACAAACGCCCGTCCATCAGACTACCTCATAGGAACCTACCCAAATACGCTATTCCTAGCTCCAACCAACCCCACTGAAGTTATGCTCATCATAAACACCCTTAAAAACAAGGCAGGAGATATAAACAACTTGCCTGCTTTTATGTACAAAAAAGCTTCTTGAGTATTGTCACCAATTATTGTAAAGCTCTTTAACAAATCCATTGAATCATCTACCTTCCCAACAATCCTCAAAATAGCGAGGGTCACTCCGATCCATAAAGGAGGTGACCAAGCTGACTTGAATAACTATAGACCAATATCTAACTTACCACTGCTCTCTAAAATCTTTGAAAAGTTAATTCATAACAGATCTATTCCTACCTCGTTTCACACAACATATTAAACCCTTGTCAGTTTGGATTCAGAAATAATAAAAGCACAAATGACGCTATCATACACATGCTAGAACTAATATATACCGCACTTGAAAAGAAAGAAGTCCCGCTGGGCATTTTCATTGATTTGCGTAAAGCTTTCGATACAGTTGACCATGAACTACTGTACTCCAAATTAATGCACTATGGTATCAGAGGCCACTCCCTCAACTACCTAAAGTCATACCTTAGTAACAGAACTCAATATGTGTATGCAAATGGTGCAAACTCCTCCACCCAACCAATCACAGTAGGAGTCCCACAAGGAAGTGTCCTTAGACCACTCCTCTTTCTCATCTACATCAATAATCTACCGAATGCATCACAGCTACTCAAACCCATATTATTTGCAGATGACACTACATATGTATTTTCCCACCCAAACGCAGCCATACTAGCAAACACAGTTAATGCTGAATTACAGAAAATATCTGCCTGGATGATGACTAACAAACTTACCCTGAACACTGATAAAACCTATGTCATTCAGTTTGGAAACAAAGCTGCAAATGATCTAATTAACATTACGCTAAATGGATCATCAGTCACAAGACTCACAGAGGGAAAATTCCTAGGTATCCACCTTGACAGTAGCCTTAAGTTCAGGACATGCATACAACAAATCACCAAGAAAATCTCCAAGACTGTAGGCATACTATCAAAGATAAGGTACTACGTTCCACAATCAGCTCTCCTGGCACTGTACCATTCACTCATATACCCTTATCTTACATATGGAATTTGTGCATGGGGATCAACAACATCCAATCACCTAAAACCCCTAATAACCCAGCAAAAGGCAGCAGTAAGAATGATAACAAATTCTCACTCCTGCCAGTATACTCCACCAATTTTCAAGTCTGAATCTGCTTACCATTAAGAACATCCATACTTATTCATGTGCCTACTACATACACAGAACAATACATGCAAATATAAACCCCCCACTCAAACTTTTCCTCGCCAACCTAAACAGGACACATGACCACAACACAAGACACAGATCTCTTTTTGATATCCCTCGTGTCCATACCACACTGTGTAAAAACTCTATGCACATAAAGGGCCCCAAAATATGGAATTCATTACCAGAAGATATTAAAGTAACCCAGTCTGAAAATCAATTTAAGACTCTTCTCAAAAGCCACTTAATCACCCTAGACTAAATGCTAAATACTCAGTATACATTTACTCACCTATGTACTCCCACATCATAACTGAAACAATCACATTGAACCTTTTATCAATTGTTGACAGGAATATAATTGAATCATTGTTTTTCACAAAAGCATTTTTAGAATGTAAATACGTATATCTTTGTATTATAAAAATTTTGATTCATTTATAATTAATGTTCTACTGTACAACTATGAAATAATTACTTTCCTACTGTACGACTATGATATACTCCTTAGTATTAAGTAGAATGTAAGCCAATAATGTTAAGTTGGCCCATAATGCCAAGGCATAATAGAGGCTCTCTTTGCATTGCAACCCACTATTGTACACACACAATCTCAATGTACTGTTTGCAAAGACATTAAATAAATAAATAAATAAATAAATAAATAAATATAAGCTCACATGGTGTGATGAAAGGGCTAAATGGCATATTTATGTAAAATGCAGGAGAGGTAAAGTTATTCTTACAAATTTATTAGAAGTTATTTTCCTAGAGATCCTGTGCAATTAGAAACCGTGAATAAAAAATTTATTGCTAAAACTGTGCCATGTAAATTTATGCCGAGGACCACAGTACTGTCTTCCATAAATTTATGCCAGGGACCTTACTGTCTCCCACAATTAGTGCTGAGGACCTTATTTCGTCTCCTGTTAATTTGTGCATAATTTTCGTGCCTTCAAGTTTGACATTAACGAACATTTTATGCCTTAGCTCAAGTTTTTGGGTATCCTGCCAGCTTGTCATGCCTAGAAAAAAAAAAATGTAGTGGTGGGCAAGTTCACAAAGTGTATCATGGGTAATAATGATTCAGCAGAACATGTCAACAATGTGTGTGCCATGCCACCCTGCATCTAAGTAAGTTTTTTTTTATTAGGCATAGTATATACATAGCACACATTTATTTTCTACAATCGTCATGAGAGAAGACACATATAATGGGCACACAAAAAGTACATTAGAGAGTATGTGCATTTTTTACTAAGGAAACTCAACGAAGTCAA